ACAGTCAGAAGATGTCACTGATGCGACAAAGTCAAAGGTTGGTAAAACATTTCCTTGAGCTTGTTCTGTTTTAACAGCAGCCATGTCATGACTGTTTTTGATAATCATTGTAAGCATGCCAATATATGTAACTACTGTACTTGCCCCTGTTGTGATTCCATAGAGCTGACATTCTCATTATTTAAATAACAGAATTCACATGCAATCTGTGAGCTTGGACTATCAGTAATCAATCACTTAACTCAGAAAGAGCCTGATCTACTAGGGGCATTCACGCCTGTATCGCTGCCCCCAACGCTGTACAAACCTTCTGAAAAAAATGAAGGTGACAAGTCTCAGGTAAGAAGCCAAAACTTGTTCATGGTTCAGGGTTTCATGATGAGCTTTCTTCAAGTAATCTTTGGCAATCTGAGCTCTCTAGCGTCTTTGCTTGTATATTTACTCTGCATATTTTTTACTGGTTTGTGTTTGCTAACCCATGGCATTTTGTTTCAACAGGTTGGTGAAGAGAAATTGTGGCTAGCTGATGAAACTGTCTTGGCACACTTCAGATCTCTCAAGATGGATAGTCATGCTGATTCATCTGTATGTTATCCAACTTTAAAATCGGAGTTGCAGTATCTAACGATTTCTGTATTTATTGATATCTTTCCTTCTTTCAGGTGATACCCCAAACGTCAGAGAATGAGGGAATGAATGATGAGGAAAGTGATGGGAATGAAATTCCTCTGGGTAAAATTGTAGCGCGTTTAAGAGCTCAGGTAACCAAGAGTAAGAAGGGAAAAAAGAATAAATCTGTTCCAGCTGAAGATGATGAGAATGGTAAAAATGAGGTCGACGTTTTGAAAATGGTGAGGGAGATAAATCTGGATCACTTAATGCTGGATAAATTTGCATCCAGTAATGGACACAAACATACCCCTGGCGAGAGACCAGACACATGTCAAGCGGATCAGAAAGCTAACAAAAGGAGTTCTGGTGATCTAACATCAGTTGTTGCAGTCCCTAAACGCCGGAGATCATCTTCTGGCCATAGTCCTTTCAAGTTCTCAAATAGTGGTCCTAGACCACTGAAAGCGTCTAAAGAAGAATTGCCTGAAGAGAGAGATATGGACACAAATGTCTCCTCGGACTCGAACGATGAAGATTCAAACCGGGGAAGAAGATTAGAAAGGAACTCTTCCCGGAAGAAAAAGAAAAGCTTCTCATCAAAATCAAAGAACACAGAATCTGATTGGGGTCTCACTGATTTGGAAAATCAAAAAGAAGATGGCAACTACAGTGAGAGGGTAAAAATCACTAATAGCATCGAACCGCTTATTTCATTGTACTCTAGTTCAATTAATTGATATGCAACTTTCTCTTTAAACAAGCAGAGTAGGTCAGCAGAAAGTGGTGATAGAATGAAGTCTACCTCTGGATCAATAAAGAACCGGAAAAGAAAAGGCATCACAGGACTGGCTAAGGTGCGGAGGTTTACCTCTGATTGATGTTTATGAGTGTCACTATTGTATAACTGACATTATGGTATATTCTGACCTAATTTCTTGTCCAGTGTTCTACAACAGAAAAGAAACTTGCTACTGATGAACTAATCGGTTGCAGAATAGAAGTTTGGTGGCCTATGGATAAACGGTAAGCATTTTAGTGGCAAAGTGATCTCATTTTTGTATTTCCTTTGGAGTTTATTTATTTATTTGAAGGCCTTGGGAGTTACACTACTCTGACAGCCATGCAAAGCTACACCCTGAACGAATTAATTTGTTTCCATGTTTTAATCACATTTTGTTACTCTGAACCCATTTTCATTTTCAGCCAGATGTGGTATTATTATTCTGAGTTTATCTTACCAGAAGTTGCATCTTGGTGTCAATAGGTTTTATGAAGGCACAGTAAAATCTTATGATTCAACAAAACAGAAACATGTGGTAAGCTTTCAGCACTTTGATTCTTGTCTTTTTCTTGGGTTAGTTGGTCTATCTGACTCTGTACTCTATCCTTGTGATATCGCAGATACTTTATGAGGATGGAGATGTCGAAGTACTTCGTCTAGATAAAGAACGGTGGGAGCTCATAGAAACGGGTGGAAAACCCACAAAGGTTCTGAGATTTTTCTCCTTTTTGGGTTCTTTTGTCAAATGTCAATCCATCTTCACTAATTCTATTCATCTGCCGATTTGGCTCCTGTTAGCTTAATATATATCCTTACACTATTTCTACCCTCCGCAGAAGGCCAATACATCAAAGCGGAGTTCTAGTAAGAAAGGGTATGACATGTTCTCTTCATCTTAAGATAATATAACTTTATTTAGTCCTTTCGGTCTCGTTTTGTTCTTTAGTCTTATATGACATAGCAGTCTTGTTCTTTTGCTTCTTTTAGGTCTTCGGAAAAGAAGCATAAGAATTCAGATGGCTTTCAAAGAGATGAGGACCCTATTGCTACTACGTAAGTAAAATACTGTCATTAGAAGGCTAGATAGGAGCTCATTCTTCTGCATTTTGGTTATATTTTGCGTATCTTCTGCATTCGTGTTGAACCATTTGGTTTTCTCCTGACTCCTGTCTTATCCAGGCCAAAAGGAAAAAGAACTCCAAAGATTTACCTAAAACATAAACACCAGGAAGGCACACCAAGAAGTCTCTCTTTAGAAGATGAGAAACTAGAGAGAGGAAACAAGAAAAAACGATCTTCTGCCATTCCAGGTAAACTCTCCATTGGACTACTTCTTCCTATCCTATCTCCAATTTTGTTAGCTTCCCACTGCTTTTAAATTCTTTCAACTTATGTACTTTCATCCACGTATACATACGGAAACAGTGTTAGATTTATTGTATTGTACTATGCAATTTTTTTTGGTTCTGATTTATTATTGTTGAAATAATTCAGTTGGTGAAGTTGCTGAAAAAACAAAAGAAAAGAAAATGGAATCAACCACAGAACAGATGACCGAGGATCCGGAATATGGTAGGGAGGCTGGCGAAGATAAATCAGAGTCCGAAGGAAAGACGTGGAAAGAAGGCGAGGATGATGTGGAGGCAAAAGCAGAGTCGAGTGGGGACCCTGAGGGGAAAGAAACTGATGTTGACAACTCAGATTCTGAGGGGAAACAAGAAAACAATGATATGGAGACAGAAGCTGAAGGGGATGCTGAGGCTTCTGACAATGAGACTCTTGTACCTATCTACCTTTTTCTTGAAACTTCCAAATAGCATAACGGAGAGATGAGTAGAGAGTTTCTGGGTTCTGATATGTGCGTGCTTTATAATGTATGTGCAGGGAGCGTGGAGAAGTAAAGTGGTCAAGTCAAGCTCGAGGAAAGCAGCATAGGTGTGTGTCCATATGCCATAATGTAGAAGAAATACAGGGCAAAAAAACTGCGGTGTTTGTCCTCAAGTATTTGGTGGTCTCTGATTAGTGTGGTGTATATGTGGTAAAAAATGTGAGATTTGTAGGGTTAGGTGATACATACTTGTTCTAACCACTATGATGGAATGAATAATAGGCAAAAGAAGCTTCAACAGACACTTATGTGCTCATGTATTGTAGTCTCTGTGTGTGTTTATTTGTAGGGTTGTTTCCATGTTTTCTTCTGTAATATTTTTACAACTTACATTCCTAAACCCAAAGTGCTCTTCTCTTGTGAACGAAACTACTTGGCCACTTTCTTATTGTACCCTTCTTTCTTTTTAACTTACTTTTGCACGTCAGCTTACAAATATTAAAACATTTTGGAATTTTCTAACGTGCATTTGTGTGAGACCATGACATTTTGGCGCTACCGTGTTTTCTTTTCTGACGATTCTAAAATTTTACCGTTTACAATAAATACACTTAAAACAAATTCTACTCATATCCTTGTAAAAAAGAGAATTTCTTCACTAAATTAAAAGAAATTCTATTTATTTGTTATTTCAAAAAGACTGAATAAAACAAAATTATAGCAATAACAATGGTCTCCAACAAACAATTTCCAGAGAATTCAACTGTCGGTGAATCCCAAAAATATTCGCCGAATAATAACAATTTGCTTTCCACAATAAGTCTAATGAAATGATTATCAGTAACATAGTAGTGTCTACTGTAATTAGTAGACATGTAACAGTTTGGTGGTTAGTTGTTACATCAGAATCGGATGTCATGAACGAATATACTAAAAAGAGGAGGTGGTTTTTTGTTTTCTGTGCCAAAGAGTAAGTTACCTTCATGTTTTTTTTGGAGGAACTCAAAAGTGTAAAAAAAAACTTATATTGCAGCCTGCAATTTGCAGGGGGGAAAAATGAGAAGAAAAAGCAAGAAAGAAAGAGAAAGAAAGTAATGGTGATTGTTGTCAAAAAAAAAAGAAAGAAAGTAATGGTGATATGGGCCCTCAATTTTATGGGTCTTGGAGCTTTATAGATTAGACCGAGTCAAAGCATGTCAGATGCCATTTCTGATTTCAAGCAGATAAATACATTTTCTTATACTGGTTTTTTACCAAACATTGAACACAAAAGAAGAGGATTAATTTAAAATGAGGATTAGGTTCACCTAATTTTTGCAGTAATTCAATTGATTACTGTTGTAGCTACGTCTCAAAAATCAGAACTTTATGTTCAACCTTTGGTCAAACATTCTTTTGCAACCTCGAGAGTCGAGACCATCGAATTTGTCTTTATGACAACATTTGTTTGCATTCTCGCTCCTCTCAGCTCATAACTACAAAACAGGTAGAGCTGCGTTAATCTCAAGAAGAGGAGGAAACCCTTTCTGTTTTGCTCATTCTCACGGCCACGAGACGATTTTTACTTCTTCCTTTTTGTTTCCAAACTGGTAAAGTTGTTTGGTAATCTTCTGTTTCTCGGCTGTTAAAGCTGTGTCGCTGTCCTTTACCGTTTTTTTATATTTTGGTTTTTTTTCCCCTAAAGTTGGAAAATTTCTCAGTGAAACTTCCTTTTCAGTTAGTACCATTCTTCGCTGTTTTACTCATTCTTTAGGGCTTCAATTATTTGTTTTTTTTCACTTTTGGTTTGGTAGACTCGAGTTTCTGTTTCAAACCACAAAAGTGTGAGCCTTTGTTGAACAAAAAACTTCATCTAGTTGTAGCATCTGCAGAGTCCTCTGTGTTTCTTGATCAAGTTCTGGTTGCGATTTAGGTATCTTCCTTTAGCATACTCACCAGATACATGTGTCTTTAGATTGGCCGCATTTGATCTCTCTGGGTTGCTTGAAAATCCGCTATTGTTTCTAGATCAAGTGTGAATCTTTCTCTCTCTTTTTTTTTTTTCCCAGAATTTGTTGTGTATCAAGAAGTGATTTCCCTCGAAATTTGGGGTTCTATGTTTCTTTGGGATTTTCTGTCGGATTACTCATGATTCTTTCTCTTTCTCTGTCTTCTGGTTGTCATATTCAGTTGATTGTCTGATAAACACAGTTACTTTATCCCCTGTTACACGAGGAGTATGTACTTAAGTGTCTGAAGTTGCTTAGATGTCTGCTTTCTTCTAATGTTGGTAGCTTGTGTTTGTAAGGTCTGAGATGGGCGAGCCACTAGGACTGCTCCAGGTGACCGTTATTCGAGGAAAGAAACTGGCGATCCGAGACTTCAAGTCAAGTGATCCTTACGTGATAGTCAAATTGGGAAATGAGGTAAAGTTTGGTGTCCTTATCAGTTACAACCACTGTTTGTTTTTTCATCAGAGTCTGAAGTGTGACATTGTTTTTTGTTTATGTTGTGGTTAAATTTGTTTTGAGGATGCTGCTATTGGCTGATTTGATGTTTTTTACTGTCTTGAAAACCAGTCAGCTAAGACCAAAGTGATCAACAATTGCTTGAATCCTGTGTGGGATGAGGAACTGAGCTTTACACTCAAAGATCCCGCAGCAGTTCTCGCATTGGTATGCCTTGAATCTTTCATTATAGTTTCCTTTTGTGACCATCATATGATGATGATGCTGAGATTGTTGATGGTGCGTTGCAGGAAGTGTTTGACAAAGATAGGTTCAAGTCAGATGACAAAATGGGCCATGCCACTCTCAGCCTTCAACCGCTCATATCAGTAGCTAGACTAAGGCATGTAGTGCGTGTGTCCTCTGGTGAGACAACACTTAGGAAAGTGGTACCGGATTCAGATAACTGTGTATCTCGGGAGAGCACAATCAGTTGCATAGACGGGGAGGTGGTGCAGAGCGTGTGGCTGAAGCTGTGCGCTGTCGAATCTGGTGAGATTGAGTTGAAGATCAAGTTGATTGATCCTCCCGGAACAAAGGAGTAGTAGCATTAGGGGCTTTTTATGAATGCAGATGTGTGGTATGTAGTTTTTTTGCAAGTTGTAATCTGTTTGTCTTAGTAAATTTGCAACATGTATGGTCTTTCGTTTCCAAATGAATGTGAAACGGCTTTTTAAGGTTTAAAAGCTTTGCCCTTTGTGCCTTGTGAGTTGTGATTACCGGCTTATAAATCTTGTTGCCATGCTTAGGAATCTGTGAGATAAACACACTCTACTGCATTGTACACCTTGAGTGTTTGAATGGAAACTAGAATGATAAAAAACTAACATCAATAGCCGATTTTCACATCTCAATTTTCCTAATAAGAACTTGCAAGAAAGTGATAAAATGTGGCAACAATCAAATCATAGCAGGTGGTGGTGGAACCGACATTGATATCGGTATCTGACGTGTAACAGTTGTTCTTTTATATCTTTATTTACCTTTTATATATTTTGTCAATTATGATAAAATGTTTTTGCGAACTAACACATGTATCAAGTATCAATAGCTGATTATCATTTAGAAGTTCTCTGTATCTTGGAAATATCAAAGAAGTCTAAAACCAAGCGATCTCCGTAAAGAGTGTCCTATTTCTGTGAAGAATTAACGGTATTTACATCTTCTTCTTCCATCTCTCTGTCACAGATATATTTCTGTGTTACTTCGTTGGAGAACTGACGGTGATTTGCTCCGACAAAGGTTTTTTTTTTTTTTTTGGTAAAAGACAAAGTTTTTTTTGGACATGGTTGTCTTATTCTCCCCTCACTCGTCGTCATCTCTTGCGAAAAAGCAATTTAAGTCGCTTATTCCTGTTTGACTTTTTCTGAAGAGCTTGACTTGACCTTTTACTAAGTTTGCAATCCGATTTGTGGGAACAATTTGATTTACATGTTGAATCTCATCTCTTGAATTCAGGGTTTGGACATGGATGATAAAACCTCTACCAAAGAGAATCAAAGGAACTTAGATAGGATCAGCAATTTACCTGATTCGTTGCTATGTCAGATACTCTCCAACTTGTCCACAAAGGAATCAGTTTCCACTAGCGTTTTATCAAAAAGATGGAGTAAACTCTGGTTACATGTTCCTGCTTTGGACTTGGATTCCAACAAGTTCCCAGATTCTGATGTCTTTGTGAGTTTCCTAGATAGGTTTCTAGGCTCTGACAATCACCAACACTTGAATAGATTCAACTTAATCTATGAGGTTTATGACCAAGAATCTCGTTTCAAGTTTTGGATAGATTCTGTGATTAGACGTCGAGTTTGTCATCTTGATGTGCATAGTTTAGTTGATGACGATGATGATATAGTTAAGATGCCTCTATCTCTCTATTCATGTGAGACATTAGTGAACTTAAATCTCTACCTCGTACGCTTGGATCATCCCGAATCTGTTTCCCTGCCTTGTGTGAAGATTATGAATCTAGACATGGTTACCTATGATGCTGATTCGACTCTAGAGACTCTAATATCAAGCTGTCCTGTTCTGGAAGTGTTAACCATAGTTCGTCAGCCCAGGGATTGTCTAGAAGCTGTGTGTGTGCGTTCACAGTCACTAAAAAAATTCAGAATGGAGTCTGAGCGTTATGGAAGTGAAGAACATGTTGTTGTTACAATAGATGCTCCAAGGCTTGAGTGTTTGACTCTCAGCGATCACCAATCTGAAAGTTTCATTATACAAAGTGTTGGTCCCTCTACAAAGGTTAACATTGATGTTATCTTTAATGTGGAATATGGTGAGCCATTGGACCCATCTGATTCTTCCAAGATTACTATGCTTGGTCAATTTCTCTCCGGGTTATCTACAGTCCACGACATGAGCATCTCTGCTTCGACTCTAGAGGTATATATATATGTACATGGTTGATTCAGTAGCATTAAGCTTGTACATTTTCTCAGTGAACCCATGTTTTCTTTTTGTTTCTCGCTGCACAGGTCATTCATGATTACTGGAAAATGGAACAGCTACCTCAGTTCTCTAACTTGTCTGGCTTGCATGCTTGCTTCCAAGAATATTCTTGGGAAATGTTGCCTTCTTTCCTTGAGAGTTTCCCAAATCTACACTTTGCCGTTTTGGTGCGTCTCATTTGCTCTTGCTCTCTTGTAAATAACACTGAGTGACTCATAAAACGAAATCTCAAACTTCCCTTGGTTATATGTTATCAGGAATTTGATTGCATTCCAAGCTCAGAGGAGATTCAACTTTCATCTGTGCCACAGTGTTTCTTATCATCTCTTGAGTTTGTTCACCTTAAGACAAAACGCATCGTAAACAGGCAAAACCAACTCACAGGAACATCAAGTAAGATGAAACTGGCAAAGTACTTTCTAGAGAATGGTGCAGCTCTAAAAAAATTGACAGTATCTTCGAGTTTCGACAACATTTTCGAGAAGATTAAATCGATTCCAAGAAGCTCTACGAGGTGTCGAGTTGTCATGGAGTGATTAAAGCCAACTTACGAGGTTGTCTCTGATAAATCCAGTTTTATATCCAATAAACTACATAGAAATTAAGGTTTGTATCCAGCTATTAGTTAAATATAAGATCGTTACAAGGGCTGCTTTGAAGTTTCTATAAAGGCAGTAAAACTCAGCTTTCATTTGTTTTGCGTATCAAGAAGCTGAACCAACCGAGTGATATTATAACAATTATTATCAGTTACAACCACTGTTTGTTTTTCATCAGAGTCTGAAGTGTGACATTGTTTTTTGTTTTATTGTGGTTAAATGGTTTTGAGGATGCTGCCGTTGACTGATGTGAAACGGCTTTGTAAGGCTTTAGAGCTTATCCCTTTGTGGCTTGTAACTAGTCAGTCAGTAGTCAACAGTTTATATATCTTGTAACCATGTTTAAGATTCTGCTGAATCATTGTACGAGCCGATTCTACATCTCAACCTTCGTAATAAAACCTTGTAAGAAAGGGACAAAATCTGGCAAAAAATCAAATCATAGCAAGGTGGTGGTGGAACCGACATTGATATTGGTATCTGACGTGTAACGCTTTTTCTCTATCACTTTTTCCGCCTTTATCTTATTTTTCTTTTTTAGTCAATTATGATCTCTCTGTCTCTTTCTCACGTTTTCCTCGTAATCATCTGAACACAAGCGTGATCGTCCTCATCTGCCACCAAACCGGATAGGTGATGCATGTTTTCACCCGGAAATCCCAAAGTTGTGATCTTTATGTGCAGCTCTTATGATTCTCAGCTCTAGTTTTCTTTGAATTCTCAGGCTAGATATAACTTCTTCAAGTAACTTTCATGGCTCCCTCTGTCTCTGATGGTTCCATACAGCCTCGAGGTTCGTTATGTTTTTCCTTCTTTACCAACCCCCTCGCGTCTGTGTGCTCTGTTTTAAGGCGCCACCTTCTATTTATAGTTGGATCATGAACTATCCAACAGGTTTTGGCTAACTTACAATTGAAGTTTCGGTTGGCGCAGATGTTTGTGTTGTGGGAGTGGCACGAACTCCTATGGGAGGCTTTCTTGGCTCCCTCTCTTCTATGACTGCCACAAGACTTGGGTCCATAGCCATTGAAGGTACCCTTTTTTTAGTTTTTACTCTCTCTCTCTCTCTCACTCTCATTGTTTGATTCAGCCAAAATTTAACTCTCTGACTGCTTCACACTCCACTCATAGCTGCACTTAGAAGAGCAAAAGTTGATCCGCGTCTTGTGGAAGAGGTCTTCTTTGGCAATGTCTTAACCGCTAATCTTGGGCAAGCACCAGCAAGACAGGCTGCACTTGGTGCTGGGATTCCCTATTCAGTGATCTGCACTACTGTCAACAAAGTCTGTGCTGCAGGAATGAAATGTAACCTTTTATTTATTTACTCTTCTTCTTCTACTCCCATATGATCATTGAAAACCTCAGAATCTCACATGTACACACTGCTTTAACTTCACCTGTAACCTCAGCTGCGATGCTAGCGGCTCAAAGCATCCAGCTCGGCTTGAATGATGTTGTTGTGGCTGGTGGAATGGAGAGCATGTCAAACGTACCTAAGTACCTCCCGGACGCAAGGTGCTTCTTGAGTTTCCTAACTTCAAAATTGTACAAAGAAACCCAAGAGAGGAAGTTTGGCTTTTGGTTTCTCATTTCGTTAAGCTTTCTTGTTTATTTTGTGAGCAGAAGGGGATCACGATTAGGCCATGATACTGTTGTTGACGGTATGACGAAAGATGGACTTTGGGATGTGTACAATGACTTTGGCATGGGAGTTTGTGGAGAAATTTGCGCTGACCAGTACCGTATTACAAGAGAAGAACAGGTCACTCATCTTCATCCTTGTGATCTGTCTTTCCAGTTTGTTCCATGGACTCTCTCGCTGATTGTTTTTTCCTGATGTACAAACCTTATCTTTTGTAGGATGCTTATGCTATCCAGAGCTTTGAACGTGGTATTGCTGCACAAAACGCTCGGTTGTTTGCTTGGGAAATTGTTCCGGTACACATCTCCTTTCCCTGCATTCCCGGAATTCACTTTGTGGTATGGTGATGGAATATTTCTCATACACTCATTTTGATAGGTCGAAGTTTCCACTGGAAGAGGGAGGCCTTCGGTTGTTATTGACAAGGATGAAGGACTGGGGAAGGTATTTGGTTCAGGAACGCTGCTTCTCTTTAGGATAAGCTTGATTGGTTTTAACTTTGTTTGGCATGAACCAGTTTGATGCTGCCAAGTTAAAGAAGCTTAGACCAAGCTTCAAGGAGGATGGGGGATCACTCACTGCCGGAAATGCTTCAAGTATAAGGTCCTCTTATTCTCCCTGTTCTTTGAGCCTTTATATTGCATATCTCAGTTGCTCTGTCTTTCTTCTTTTTCTTCATTCGTAACTCTGCAAGCATTTTGTGCTGTTTACTTCGAACAGCTACTTATTGGCTCTGCTTTACGTTGGTGGACAGTGATGGTGCGGCAGCTTTAGTGCTGGTGAGTGGAGAGAAGGCTCTTGAGCTTGGACTGCATGTTATAGCTAAGATTAGAGGGTACGCTGATGCTGCTCAGGCACCTGAGTTGTTCACAACCACGCCGGCTCTTGCAATTCCTAAAGCTATAAAGCGTGCTGGTTTAGATGCATCTCAAGTGGATTACTATGAAATAAACGAAGCCTTTTCTGTAACCCCTCTTACCGAGCTCTCACTGTTTTATACTTGTTGTGTATGTATTGAGAGGTATGACTGTTTTGACTTGTTTACACCCACAGGTTGTAGCTCTGGCTAATCAGAAACTGCTCGGATTAGATCCTGTGAGTCATGTAACAATTACATTTATGGATACTTCAGTCTTATAATTTCAATGTCTCTGATAATGTATGTAAAAACAGGAAAGACTGAATGCGCATGGAGGGGCTGTTTCACTTGGACATCCGCTGGGATGCAGCGGTGCTCGTATTTTGGTCACATTATTGGGGGTAAGTCATTAAGGGCATGCAACAATGGTGTTGAATTGAACCTTCCCCTTGAAAAAATGTGGTTGAATCATTCTGATTCAGGTGTTGAGAGCAAAGAAGGGAAAGTATGGAGTGGCGTCAATATGCAACGGAGGAGGAGGAGCATCAGCACTTGTTCTTGAGTTCATGTAAGCTCCCTCTTTTAACTCTGGTAAGCACATCATTTAGCATAAGCAAGAGATTACATGTCAATGAATGCTTAACAATACAGTACTTGTAACTTCAACTTGTTGACGTGTTGCCAGGTCGGAGAAGACAATCGGGTATTCGGCACTCTGAAGCCAATAGATGTTGTTTTAGAACGCAAAGCGTGTGTATGTGGTTTTAGTTTGTGTGTCACGAGACTACTGAACTTTGTACTTGATAGAGATGCAATAAAAGCGTGTTAGAAATACAAATAATATTTCCTATAACTGTTTTATCCATAGGATCAAATAAAAGACTATACATTCAGTTCAAGATTTGTTCTCTTTTCTTCATCTTACACTTGCATGGCTAGGGTGAGGACAGAGCTCAGTACTCAGTACTCACTTACTCATCTGAAATGCTAGCTCACCCGTAAAATACATCTAACTGTGAAGGCACTGAAGGAACTCCCTCAGAAGTATTCATCGTTCACCATCTTCCACGTTTTCATAGACTTGGTTTTCTGTCATCAACGGGCTTGCCTAGACCGTTGCATATCTCGATCTTGTGCAGTTCCGTTTCTATGGTTTTGGCTATCTCGACACGTTCAGCTTCAGGATCAGGAAAACCCACGTGGAATGATCCTTGCTTTGCAGGTTCTGCTTGTCCTTGGGTTTCATAATGGTGCTTCACATAGTTGTATAGCTGTTGATGGAATGGATGATCAATAGAAAAACAATCTGCACTCTGAGTGTGGTGAGATGACCCAGAGCTTCCTCGTCTACAGAAATGTGGGAGGGATGTGAAGTCCATAATCTACAAGAACCACAATAGTTAGACGACTTTGCATTTTCACACACCAACATCATCAGGAAGCAAATGCATATATACATATTTATACCTTCAATAATTCATCCTTTCCGCAACCGGATAGCACATGAACTTTTTGCCTCGTCCTCTCTTGTAAAAGAGGTTTTACAACCTGATATGAATCCAAGGTTTGCCAATAAAATACACACATACATTGCTAAGTAGCTTACTTTACAACAGAGAAGAGGCTTACCTTCCAACACGCAGAAAATATATATGGAGCGTTCACAACATAGTACGTGTTTGTCTTCTCTGGATAGTTTAGATCATCGATGGTCGATATGATAGTCACTAACTGCATCAAAACGTTGACACACAAAGATATAAAGAAAAGTATGAAAATGAATTCAAGAACTTATTATATCTTGCAGTATCAATATAATGGACTATCATACCTTGATTTGGCTTAGCGCTGAAAGTTTCAACCCTGTCATGTCTAGAACCTTCACGCAGGTGGTAATTGGTCGCCCATTCTTCTTAGACACAGAAGGCTGCAATAGTGTTTTACTCATTACAACAAGAATAGAAACTGAAAAACAAAAAAGTCTAGCCATTTGCCATGTACTCACCAGTAATACGCGGTCTCTGTATTCATTGATTTGGATGTGGGATTGGACATAGTAGTGAACCTGTATGTCAAAGAAGAGAAGCAAATTCACTTTTTTTTGTTTCTCATTTGATTGTGTAACTTGCAGAAACTAGGACAAACCAATGAAGTATCTTACAGAAGCTTTGTCGAATGTGCTGAGGCCAACGCCGATAGCAAAGACAGGCAATCCCTAAAACATCAATGCAGAAGCAATGAAGAAGAGAGATATGTTTAAGATCAAAAAAGGCAATGAGGAATCATGGGCTTACCTCTTTGGTGTAACCTGGCATTCCTATGAGTTGAGAATCTCGTACGTCCCTATACAACTCAGTAGGAACAATAGGTTTCTGCAGAAACCAAATAAAAGATGTAATGTATGTCACACAGCACAGATCTTACATCACAGACCAAGAAAAGAGGAAACGAATAACTCACGGATAGGATACTGTCGATTTCATTATCCACCCTCCAACGCAAACACTCAACCAGCTGAAAGTGAGTTACAAACGGTGAAATCAGACGGACTCACTCAAACCAGACAATGAAGTGTTTGGGAGACAAACCATTGTATGAGCTTTGCATACGTTCCAGTCTCGTGCTTTTAGAAAACGGCTCAAAGTCTCTCTCAAGTATCCCTGATGGACACTCTGCAGATTTCACAAAAACGTTTCCTTTACTTGATTTCAGTTTCAGTAAGAATAAGAGTAAGAAGCGAGGAGCATTAAAGAAACAATTCTTGCTTAAGCTCACGTTTTCAGACAGAAATTCTTAAGCATTCACTCTGTTCAATGAAATCAATTTAATTCACTATTGCAGAAAAACCCAATCATAGATTTAAACCCAGATCAAACATGCCACATATGGAGGGAGAATCTAATGCATCTGTGATCTGTTTCTTCGAATCTGTTGAATAGGGTCTGACCCATTTCCAAGAACAGAGAGAACATACATATACTCCAACAAAAACCGAACATACCTCAAATGTTTTCTTCAATGGCTCCTCAACTGGGACAAATTTAACCCAATTCAGTAATTACTAATTAGAAAATCAAAGCAGAAAGAGAAAAAGGTGAGAGGAAAAGGTCAGACCTTGATCTACCAGCTCCTGGAATTCATCAATGGCTTCTTCTGAAACGATCCCCATTGTTTTCTCTGACTTCCTCTGCAACTAGACAAGAATTGCCCAGAAAAAGAAGTAAGATCTCCAAGATCGGCTTTTTTTCCTCCTTTTGTCACTTTGCACCAAACTATGAGTCCATCATTAAAGGTCAAAGAGGCGGTAGGAGACAGAAAAATCCCAACAGAAATATACACTTTAAAAACAAACTAGGATTAACTTGTCTTTAGAGAGGCACTACTTTGCTCAAAAAAAAAAAAAGAGAGAAGAACTACTTCGATAATGACGGCTCGTAACCTCACAATTGTCTAAACAACAAATTAAAAGCAGCTTGCTTCAGATTTATTCTTTGGGGATATGTTGAATATCAATCACTATTTGATTTCCCCTTCTTGTTGGTTCTGGGGTGAATAGCACAAGTTTAAAGACTGAATTTTTCTCATTGAGTGTAAAAATGAACCAATGAATAAAGAGGAAGATTCAAACTTTGATTTAGATATTAGTATTACTAGGGACGACATTGCATTATTAGTAAATAACTTTCTTTTATGTTAAAGGTTTTGTACTATGTATGAACTCGTAGCGGATTTGGTGAGTCTTGTCCTTTATAGGGAAAAGAAAGAACAAAATATGGATTATGACGGTATTCAAAGTTGAGTCAACTATTCAAAGGCTCAAAGCTGTCTTTTATGGAAACGTTTTAATTACTTTTCAATTGGGTTAATTACAATAAAGAAGAGCAAAATTTGTGGCGTATTAGAGGTTTAGGGGCCGGAGATAAGATAGGTGGGTTGCTTTATGGTTTATTCAAAGGTCAATTTCCTTGGATGGCAAAACATGTCCATCACACAAAAAAGTCTTTCTTGTGATTTGCAATTCAAAAGCCAAGAATAGAGTCACAATAACTTTGGTCTTTGTCTCTTTGCATTGCTTTTTTCCATCGATCTTTGTGCTAGTTGGACATTGAATGTGAGTTATTATGAATCATGAACTGAGAGAAACAAATTAGGTGGGTCACTTCTCTCCAGATTTTAAGTTGGGCCTTAAACTAAGATCAGGACAAAATTAGTCAAAAACTTTGCCCAATTGCTAAAGATACCAGTTTTCATATTTTAAGACCTCTAAAGGTCTGAAGCCTTCCAAGCAAAACATTTAACATGGAAGGATTCCCCAATGCCAAGAGTGAACGCATCAAAGTTTATTAGGTGCTGATGATGTAGAAGGTTTGCTTCTTTTTCTGCAATTGCTAAGAAACTTGTGTGTTTTGACTTTAATTAGATTATTAAATATAAAGATTCCTGCTTGGGATTCGGATATTCGAGCAACAATTGCTAATAAACAACGAGCAAAGCACGTTGACCCATCTAGAGTTTCAAATTCTAGACAAAGGAAAAGTATTTTCTAGAGTTGATGATGCAAATTCAATCAAGAATGTATTTTTCAAACACTTTAATTCTAGTGTATAGTAATAATAACCATGCTCTTTTATGATCATATATGTAAAAGGTTAAACGTCTTGAAAAGTTCAGGCTTGCACACAAAACTCACACGCAAAAAACACCAAGATTGCATATATATATTAAAGGAAAGTAAGAAGGATTTGATGGGGTAGAGGGCAAAAGAAGAGCCTAAAAAGTCAACGAGAAGAAAATGCAACGGAGGAGTAATGAGATTGAAGAGGAAGCGGAAGAAGAAGATGGAAGGAGAGGGCTGGAGAGCGTGAGAGAGAGTCAGTTTGAAGGGAGAAGCAGTGGAACAGTGTCGATGAACGGAGAGGACAACGTGTATGTTGGAGTTGGGAAAGGAGACTCGAGCATGGAGGCATTGCGTTGGGCTCTTGACAATACCATCACTTCTTCTTCTACTCTTCTCTTCCTCATCCATATCTTCCCTGAGACTCGCTTCATTCCTTACCCTTGTCTGTATATGTTCTTAGCTTTATACTTCTTATATATGATTATGATAAGTGTGTGTCTCGGAACTCAAGTGTATGTATATATATGATCTTTGTAGTGGGGAGGCTGACGAAGGAGCAAGCGAGTCAAGAACAACTGGAAACCTTTATGTCTCAGGAAAGGGAGAAGAGAAGAACTCTGTTGCTCAAGTTCCTTCAAGCCTGCTCTGCTTCTAAGGTCCCATCTCTCCCTTTCTCTCTTCCTCTCCCCCTCTCTTGGTGTTGATAATTAAGATGGAAACTAACAGATGAGAGCGTAAGTGAGAAACAGGTTAAGGTGGAGACAATACTGGTTGAGAGTGACTCGGTGGCTAAGGCTTTACAAGACCTCATTACCATTCTTAACATTAAGAAGCTTGTTCTTGGGATCGACAAGTCCAATGCAAGGTATATATACACAAGATGATTTACACAAACTTTTAGAGTTGTCAGATGACAGGACACCCTTCTCTATCTCTCTTTCTTGTAGGAAAGCAACGACGATCAAAGGAAACACTGTTCCTGAACAGATAATGAGGAGCTCTGCAGCAGATATGTGTGATGTCAAAGTCATATGCCAAGGACAAGAGATAAAGATGGAGGAGAAGAAGGTGGAGAGCAACCCCTCTAAGTCCCCAACAGAGCAGCGGCGGAAGAAAGATCACTCCGTTGACCGTTTTGCTTGCATGTGCTTTACCAGTAAGCCCAAAACTAACAGTTAATAGAATGCGAGACCAAGAGAAAGATAAAGAGACAACACATTTGTTGTTATGTTCTGTGTGTTGGATAGAGTAAAAAAGAACTCTTGATAAAAAAACACTATTTGGTTATGAAAGAGTTACAACAGTTTATAAACTACAGCAGCTATTGCATAGAGAAAACAAACATTACAAGTGCATAACACTTGAACATCTTTCACCACATGGTCTTTTAAGGAAGAATAGAGTACCACCATATGTCTAACCTTAACGCTAGAAGAAATCAAATTCCAAATAGTTGTCAGAACCTTTCTGAGCATTCAGAATCAAACCTGCTGCTGTCTTCTGGCTCGATGGTGCCTCTGCAACATTCACAGGTCCCTTCTCCAGCTCAACAGGCTTCGGGATTTCTGGTGGAGTGGCACACCGAATCAAAGCCCAGTTCACACCTTCGAAGAAGGGATGCTGCTTAACCTCAGTAGCTCCTCGTTTGAACCCCAGACGCTGCTGCGGCTCTTTCATGAGCAGGCCCCGGATGAGGTCTCTGGCTGCGAAACTCACCACAGGTGTCTCCGGGAACCGCAGAGGCTGACCCACAACATTGAACAGTGTTTGTCGGTTTCCCGAGCCTTTAAAAGGTGTTCTCCCAAAGAGAAGCTCGTACAGAAATATCCCAAAAGTCCACCAATCCACTGCACTCCCATGCCCTTCTCCTTTGATGATCTCCGGGGCCAAGTACTCGTGCGTGCCCACAAAAGACATGGATCGCGCATCAGTTGGTTCAGCTACAAGCTCTGGCAATGGCCTAACTTGATTTGCAGTGTCGTTCTTGGATTTGCGGTCCTTTTTAGATTTGCTTGAGAACAAACGTGGGGAGAAGCAAGTGGTGGGGACAGTACAAGACGGTTGGATGCAAGAGGGCTCAATGCAAGCAGGCTGCACACAGTAAACGTTTTTGCGTAATGGATCTGACTCGATGGCGGCAGATTTCACAAGAGTCGGACTGACAAGACATCGGAGTGACAAGTCAAAATCAGAGAGCATTATATGTCCGTCTTCCCGAACTAGAACGTTTTCAGGCTTAAGATCTCGATACACAATCCCCAGCATGTGCAGGTACTCCAAAGCTAGCAATGATTCTGCTATGTAAAACCTGCCACACATTAAAAAACAAAGCCTTTAGTCAGCTGAGAATAAGAGATCAAGTGACTGGCTTGATCCCAAAATGTTATATTTGGTCATCTATCCAATACTTATGTAATAAGACAAGTCAACGGAAAAGCTAATCTTGATAGATTCGATGACTCACTTTACCGCTTGCTCGGAAAAATGCTTCCCTGGCTGGCGTTGCCTGAGAGTATGCAAATCTCCTCCGGGACAGAACTCCATCACCAAGCACGAGAATTTCTCAGTCTCAAAGTGAGTGTAGAGGGTAGGAAGAAACGGGTGATCCAAAGACTGCAGAATCTCTCTTTCTGTCTGAGCCCTGAGAAGCTTCTTGCGGCTAGCAAGAGATGTCTTGTCCATAACCTTCATCGCAAAGTAACTCTTTGTCCCGCTCAGCTCAGAGAGATAAACACTCCCGATGTCCCCGCAGCCTAGCCTCTTAAGGAGCCTGAAATGGCTCAGACCCAAAAGCCCATCCCGAGCCCGAACTGCCTGGATTGCTTCCCACCTCAAGTCGTTGGCCTTATGGGGTTTGTTGACAGTGCTACTAAAGCTGCTGCAACTACTCTCATCGCTCACATCACTGCTTGTGCTTCCTCTGCAGATACTGCTCTTGCCACTCTCCATGAAATCAAGGCGGCCACTTAGCTTGGCACTTCCACTCGTCTTGCCAAGGCTGCTCGTGCCATCACTCACTTTGGCAGAGGCAGAGCTGGTTTTGACGCTGCCATATCCTGATGTTTTCTTTTCCTGGTCCTTGCTATCAATGGTCAATGAATCTACATGCTCAAGAACAGTGGATAGGGAGCTAAAATCCGGTTTAGGATCACCAGATCGCTTCCTAAACGACTCTGGCAACCGTTTACTCTCCGGAACTCCAACACCGGCCGAATTTGTGACTGATCTGTGTAACTGCAGAGGCTCAGGTATCTCGGCTTTGGCTGACTTAGTATTACTATTTGAAGAGAAGCGCTTCTGAGCTTCGACTTCTGCTCCATGACCACTGGGTTTTCGAGTAGACGCCATTGGACACAAAAATAGATTTTTATCTATATCGAACGGGAAAGGCACATCTTTTTTGGTGGAGTTTTCTCTTCAAACCCTAATGGGATCATGAGAATCAGTTAGAAGAAGAAAAAAGTCACACAGCACAGAGATCAAACAGCACAAAAAAAAAAGATCATTTCTTTGATGAACCTTAAATAGGTAAAAAAGCAGATCGAAAATGGAAGATATGAAGGTTGAAGCTTGATTGGAGGTGGAAGAAGATGAATCAAGATCGAGGGAGAAAATAGCAAAATTAAAGAATGAGACAAGGGAGATCTAGAAACAAGGAAAGGTAGTAACTTTAGGAGAAACCCTAGAAAGAGAAGGGGGAAGGAAGGTGATACCTTGGGTGTGGATTGACGCAGAGAAGATTCGAAGAAGAGAGAAGAGAAAGTAGTTGCTTGCTTGCTTGCTTCTGCTACAATTACATGCACTTGATCACTTCACCTTCACCTTCAACTTCGACTTCACTAGTGTTGCTCATCTCACCAGATACGCACGACAAGAACCCGGAGGGAGGATCCAGTCACAGCCAAGACTTATAAATTAAAATACTCTAATAAAAAAGCTAAATTACAAGATAATACCTTTCGCTTTTGTTTTTTAATAATAAAATAAAATAAGGGACTTTATAGTTACATCAATTTTCAATATACGTATTGGAAACAAAAAAAAAGAAGTAAAGTGTGACAACAACAAAAAAAAGAGAGAGAAGGAATTAATGGCCGAAAGAAAGTAAAAGTAAGTTGAATGATCACAAATTTTTGTGTCAACATAAACTGTTAATTCCTGAATTTCTTAAAAAGGACTTAAATTTTTTATTCAAACGATAAAAAAAACAAATGATGAGAGATTATGTTTATGCAGACAATTAGAGCTATGCTTAGTAGGTCTTGTAAGCATTAATGACTGTGAGAAGAAAAAAGAGAACAAGGCATGCTAAAAGCAAATCAGGACTTGTACTCTCTTCCTTCATTATGTTCCTATGCAAATTACTTTGAGAAATACAATTCATGTGAAACCATTTGCCCTATTCTAATCTTAGTCATCACAGCAGAAACAGACAAAATGAAGATGAAGTTGATTATCATTAGTTTTAACTTTGCAGGAACGGGAATATTCGCTGACAAATCACATCACATGCCGTTTGGACTTGAACCCATTTTAAATCTCAAACTCAAGAGATCTGTGTTCCTCGATATGACCATCTACATTTTCTATTATCAATACGCGTCACATGTTTCTGGACCATGCAGGCTAAAAAGACTATAATAATATTGATAACGCTTATGACATGAAACCAGGCTGTGCTTTTGGAGGCATGAGGCACTTTTAGACTTTCCATGAAAAACTTTGATTTTCTTTTCAATCATTCAAATTGTTCAGATCCTTCATTCAGAAACATAACAACAAATGTATTCAACTCAGCCTTTATTAAAAGCTAGCAGGCCTTGTTTTCTGATGATGGATGGATCACCAGATTGATTATTAACAAAGAGCAAAAAAAATCAGAAATCTCATCTTGCCATACGCAATAACAGGACATGGACTACTGTTTCAAGGTAAAGCAAGGTGATGATGCTCTTACTTACAAGGGGGACTACATCAGTTTAATGATATCAGAGACCGTGCTTGTGTAATAGTCTGGTTCAATCTTGTTACCCTTGTCTAGTAAATTAGATTCACTTGTCACCCCTGTTTACAAAGACAGACAAGCCCAATCATTGTCAGTTAGCCATTGACCTGCATTGTCTTGGAAAACTGAAAAGAGAACAATATAGCCAACAGTAATAACCTGATAGGACGAGGAGAGTTTTGCAGCCAGCGTTCTGCCCAAACAAGATATCAGTATCTAGCCTATCACCCACCATGCACATTCTTGACGTTTCTGTCCCAAATCTGCAGCTCAAAAAAGAAAACACTCTTCTTCATCACACCATGCTATCTACTGAACACTATGAGGTGAGATAGGGTGTGAACATACTTCTGTAGCAGAAAGTCCATCATGAAAGTAGATGGTTTCCCGACCACTATTGGTTCTCTATCAGTTGATCCACACATTGCAGACACCATACAACCAGCACCTAGAATTATGAGCAAGAATTCGATGATGTAACAACCAAGCTGCTATTTTGGGCACTGCAGAGACTAATGACCATACCAGGCCACTCTTGCAGATCCGTCATATGTCCAACTGCATCACGATTGGTCGCAATGAAAAGACATCCCGGATTCTCGCGTACACAGAGGGTCCCATACCTGGCAATTCCGTGCCACTGTGTTAGCCTAATCTCACAGAAACTAGATTTAGACAACCAACTAGCATGCAATAGTTATTCATCTTACTGAAGTTTATAATAGTTTATGTTGGGGTCTAGTCCGACCACAACTGCTCCCACCTGGCACATGAAGTCATGAAGTCAAACACATTGTTAGAAACCCGAGAGAAAGAGAAGTAAACGCAAAATTCTGGAGAGAGAGTATCAAAGTCTTATGGCACATTACGCCTTTATCATGTTCAAAGACAGAGTTCGATTTCCATTGTGCCCTCTTTTCATTGTCTTCCTGCATAGAAGCAAATACTGCTTCAGATAAACAGAGGAATCCAAAGTGTTCTGTTTTTTTTTTTTTGTGTGTGTGTAAACACCGCCAATAAGTCAATAAGGATCTAATACTACTACAAGCATATGAGTCGTAGAATCGAAGTGACCAAAACAACACATGATCCAAACGAATTCAGTCGGCTAAGAGCTTAGTATCTTGAGCAGGGTAGCTAAGGAGCTTCAGCAAAGCATAACATCAATGTTGACGTTGTCGACCCTAAAGGATAAACTTTCAAAAAGAAGACTACTTACAGGACCACCAAGACCAGTAAAACCGGCAATCTGCAGCTCCTCAAGAACGCCCTCTCCACCGATCACATATACCTAAAAAAGTGAAAAAAGATCACGACACAGATACGCAAGGGAGAGAGACCTAAGCAATGTAAAAGTCTAAGACATACCTTCTTGTCCTTGGGGAAATTGTTGACTTTGAGGTACATAGCTGCCGCAAATGACGAAGAGAAAATCTCCTCCTTTTCAAGGAATCATAATTTTTCTTTTATGATAAGCACACAAGAAATGCGAGCCGAACAGAAGTCGGGAAAAATTAAGTATATATTACCTGAGTAACAGAAGCGAGACCCAGAGATCGGAATTTCTCAGCGTATTGTCTCCTCGATTTCATCGAATTGTTGGTCACAAACACAACATTTTTACCCTGAAAAGCGCACAAATCAAAATCAGAAAAGGGAAAAGAGAGCGATTGAGAGGTTAAAGGAATGAAAAGAGAAAGCACCTTAGAACGGAGTAAGTCGAGAGTGTGAGAGACGCCATCGATGAGCGTATCACCTTTCCATATAACACCTGGATCATCATCAAAGCCACAGCCCAAAGCTAAGGATCACACCATCATAGGGATCTCGGATTGGGAAGAGGAACAAAAAAAACAGAAACAATACCATCGCAGTCAAAGAGGAAAGTGTCGACAGAGTCAAACAGAGATTTGAAGTTACTGGAGGAGAGAAGCTGAGGCGCCATTGGAGTGTCTTCCAACTTTCTTTCCCAGAATTCGGGAATTTCGATTGTTGATGATGATGATGATGATGATTCAGACACAGAGCGAGCACAATTGGCAGTACGTCTCAAAACGACGTTGTTCATCGAGGAAGGCCCATTATCAATTGGGCTTCTCTTAGTCCTCTAAAAACAATTTTGTTTTTGTTTTTTTCTTTTTGTTTTAATTGCGTTGCCTTGACAAAATGACAAGTGTTGAGGTTGGATTGGGAGAGAAACTCCGAGTGTCTTGGGGGAGGTAGATGGCAGAAGTAGTAAATAAGGAGAAAGAGGAGAGGGTGTTTTGGGGAAGAAAGCGGAATGAGAGTGAGTTGTTGTAGGAATCTGGGAATTGCAATAAAGGCTGTGCATTTGCATCTCAGGCGTGTGGGTAGTCTCTATCGTCATATCCAAAGTACGCAGCTTTCTTCCTCTTCCTCTTCCTCTTCCTCTTCTCATCATCACCACCTGTCGTCAATGGCGGATCTCAAGTCAACCTTCCTCAACGTTTATTCCATCCTCAAGTCCGACCTCCTTCACGACCCTTCCTTCGAATTCACCGATGAATCCCGTCTCTGGGTTGAACGGGTACTTCTTCCCTTCCCGATCCCTTGGGATCTCAGATCCTATTTCCGATCTTTATCGTTTCTCGATTCTCCTTCTATCTTGTTCTTATGACAATGCTGATTCTGTCTTTCTTTGCAGATGCTGGATTACAATGTACCTGGAGGTGAGAGCCTCTCTTTTGCATTTTATCAATCTTAATTATCTACAATTTTGACACCTACTGGTTTCTCTTCTCCAGGGAAGCTCAATCGAGGTCTCTCCGTCGTGGACAGCTTCAAACTTTTGAAGGAAGGCAAAGATTTGACGGAGGAAGAGGTTTTCCTCTCTTGTGCTCTCGGTTGGTGCATCGAATGGGTATGTAAAGATTCCCCTTTTTGACATAAGATTCCTCTCTTTTTCTCTCTCTTGTGTCATTGTTTCTCTCTCTCTCACTCTATTCATCGTCTTTGCAGCTTCAAGCTTATTTCCTTGTGCTTGATGACATTATGGATAACTCTGTCACACGCCGTGGCCAACCTTGCTGGTTCAGAGTTCCTCAGGTTTTTCTCCTTATCATATACTCTCTCACGCTGCAAGATTAAAGACCACTAGAGAGAGAGAGAGAGTCCTCTAACACAAATGTTCCAGGTTGGTATGGTTGCCATCAACGACGGGATTCTACTTCGCAATCACATCCATAGGATTCTCAAAAAGCACTTCCGGGGAAAGCCTTACTATGTTGACCTCGTTGATCTGTTTAATGAGGTAATTTTTTTTTTTTTGGGCAGATCTACACTCTTTCCACAACCGAAGCACATTGGGAATAGTTGTCCTAGTTTATTATTATTCCTTTTGCTCTGTTTAGGTAGAGATGCAAACAGCTTGCGGCCAGATGATAGATCTGATCACCACCTTTGAAGGCGAAAAGGATTTGTCCAAATACTCTTTGCCAATGTGAGTCAAGTGTAGGCATTGCAATATATTTAGAAAAATCGTCTGGTCTAATGGATGATGAAATGAAGGATTGCACATTTTCTGAGTGGTGAAATGGTTTTCAACATGTAGTCACCGGCGTATTGTCCAGTACAAAACGGCTTATTACTCATTTTATCTCCCTGTGAGTATGGATTCTCTCCTTCCCTTCTCATGCTTGGGTTCACAGGAAAGAGTAGTCATGCTAATATTCCCATCATTGCAACGATAGAGAATTATTATTTTAGATCTTCTGTAACGAGCTGTGGTTTCCTTCTCAGGTTGCTTGTGCGTTGCTTATGGCGGGTGAAGATTTGGAAAACCATATTGATGTGAAGAATGTTCTTATTGACATGGGAATCTACTTCCAAGTGCAGGTAGTTCGTTACTAAATATTCATGAGAGCTGTTTGATAACTTTCAGGAAGTTGAAATCCGTTATTTTTGTGTAGGATGATTATTTGGATTGTTTTGCTGATCCCGAGACACTTGGCAAGGTTTTCACTTCTGCAAACACTTAGTTATTCACACTGATCTGAATGTATTAACAAGTGCTTATTTGATGCTAGCATATTGGAATCTATAATGCAGATAGGAACGGATATAGAAGATTTCAAATGCTCCTGGTTGGTGGTTAAGGCATTGGAACGCTGCAGCAAAGAACAAACTGAGATATTATATGTAAGATTTTTTTTACTTGTTTCCCAAAATGTTTGTATCCTGTTTGCAACCTGAAAGTGGTTTTGTTCTGGTATCCTAGGAGAACTATGGTAAACCCGACCCATCAAACGTTGCTAAAGTGAAGGATCTCTACAAAGAGCTTGACCTTGAGGTTTGAAACTAGTGGAACCTCAGTGATATGATGTAAAACATGATGTGCTCTGCTAATTTGATATGATTTGATGTGAACATGATAGGGAGTGTTCATGGAGTATGAGAGCAAAAGCTACGAGAAGCTGACGGGAGTGATTGAGGCTCACCAAAGTAAAGCAATCCAAGCTGTGCTAAAATCATTCCTGGCAAAGATCTACAAGAGGCAGAAGTAGTCTAAGCCCTCCAAATTTCCTGTATTTTCCTCCAAATTCTTCTTCGTTGGTGATTTGTGTAATTCTGTTTAAGTGCTCTTCATTTTCTTAAACTAATGTGTCATTTCCTCTTTTATTTATTTGTAATTTTTTTCGTATTATTTTTTTAAGAAGGATTGACTTTCTCATAAATTTATGAAAGCTTATTTTCAATTTTAGAAATTAGCTTAAAATACTACAAAAACAAGTTATAATTATAAAAATACAACTTTGAAAAGAAAAAAAAAAATCGCAAAGTTGATGTCAAGTTTATGAAGGAGTAGATGTTTATGAAGGGGGTTTTCAAAGTTTAGAAATGGTTTCCAAATCATTCACGAATCTTTCAGAAATTTTTAGAACTTCCCAAAAGTGTCTTAAAGTGTGAACAACCGTTAACAAAATAAAACTACTGAATCGTATTTGGGAGAATGGACAAAGTGTAGGGACTAAGTACAAAATTATTTTCTGGTTAGCGTTGGCAACAAAAGAAAGAGAAACCCTAGTCAATTCCATCATTTGTATTTCGATTTTGGGATCATGTGAAGGAGGAGTTAAACAGTCCCTGCTTCAGATTCGAGTTGCAGAAAGAGAGAATGTATGGAAGATCAGGTCTTGACAGGTTTAAGAAGTCTCAAACTTCGGAACCTTTCTCGGTGTCTGCAAATCCTCCAGCGAAGCCAGTAATTCAACACTTTTCCCCGGAGCCGGCGCAACTGCCATCGGCGGCGCAAACTCAGATTGGAGCGAGCCAGTCAAGTTGGCATCCCCCAGATTGGGCGATTGAGCCTCGTGCCGGCGTCTACTCTCTCGAGGTTGTGAAAGACGGCCAAATCCTTGATCGGATTCATCTGGATAGACGGAGACATATCTTCGGGAGACAGCATCAGACTTGTGATTTCGTGCTTGATCATCAGTCTGTTTCGCGCCAGCACGCCGCCGTCGTTCCCCACAAGAACGGCAGGTTTGTGATTGGCTTTTCATCTCTTTCTTAAAGGAGCTTGCTTTGGCAGCTCTTGTATCTAAATCATTGTAAAGAGTTCTTTTTTCGTGCAGCATCTTTGTGATTGACTTGGGATCAGCTCATGGTACATTTGTTGCGAATGAGAGATTGACGAAAGATAGTCCTGTAGAGCTTGAAGTAGGCCAATCCTTGAGATTTGCTGCCTCAACAAGAGTCTACATTCTGAGAAAGAACAGTGAGGCTCTCTTTACTCGCCCTCCTCTTCCAGCCGAGATTAAGCTTCCACCGCCTCCTGATCCTTCTGACGAGGACGCTGTTGTTGCATACAACACATTGCTCAATAGATATGGTTTAAGCAATGGAGAATCGGGTTGTAAGTTAGGCAAAAGGAAAGAGAAGGCTGGATCAGAAGCTGTGGTGGGTAAGAGGATGAAGAGACTACGAGTGAGCTTTAGGGATCAACTAGGAGGAGAGCTTGCTGAGGTTGTTGGGATATCAGATGGAGCAGACGTGGAAACAGAGCCTGGTCCGATAGGTGTCAGAGAAGGGAGCTTGGTCGGGAAGTATGAATCACTGGTGCAAGTGACACTTATACCCAAAGGCAAAGGGAAGGAAGAGAAAGCTTTGACAGGAACCAGAGGTGTGACTGATAGACTCCAGGAAGCAATGAATAAGTTAAAAGGGGGTCCAAGAGGAGGGATTTATGATGATCTTTACGGTGGTGATTCACTTACCAAGGCGGTTGGTACGTCATGGGCTTCTGCGAGTGAACAAGCAGCTAAAGATAAAGAAGAAACTAAACGTGGAAAGGTAGAAGAAGAAGAAGATGATAACGACGATCTGTTTGGTGACTGACTGAGTTTGAACCCGAGATTTAAGCTCCTCTTCTTCTTCTCCTCTAATGTCTACATCCCATTCCAGGCAATGGTAATGTTGTATCCTCTTTGTCATTCCAATGGCAGCAGCAAGCAAACAGAGCTCTAAGCCCAGGCCCATTGTCTTGTGTTATAAAGTAAGAAGCCTGAAATTTTGATATAAGACTGAGCAGAGTTTGGTCATTCTAGTTGGGTCTTAACTAAAAGATAGATAGTCATTACAAATAGTGTGGAGAGTAGAGAGTAGGGCCAATGCAAATGGAGTGCGTTGGATTTGACCATTAGTGACTTACAATTCTCTCCTCAAGGCAGACAAATTCCATCAGAAGAGGACATTTGTACTCAAATACCTCTCCTTCTATTCTTTCTTTTTTTCACTTTTGCCTTTTTGCATTATTAAAATAGCACACTAATGATGTGGGTTGACTTCCCCTCCCCCACAACAACAGAGATTCCATTGGGGAAATGGACAACAAGTAAAACACTTGTACAAATGGTAATCTGGCGCTGATGCTTTAAAGTTGTGACTGAAGAGGGAAGGTATTGGTCTAGGGATCCATGCATCTTTGCTTTGGGATTTGCTTTATGACAGATAATATAAAGAAGAAAGAAGATAAATGTGGTGCAGCCAGTTTCCCTTTGATTAAAACTCTCTTTTAAGTTAAGCCTACCCAACTCCTACTCTTACTCTTAGGGTGGTCCATTGTATTTATAATAAGAGTAAACTCATTTGTAAATTAATTGCAGTAGGGAAGGTAGAAGACCCACTTTTGTTTCTTCACTTTCTTTCTGTTTGGTGAGAAGTTGTTTTCCTTATGCAAAAGATGGAACGCATGAACGACACTTGTGTCTTTGCTTTTTAAGTTTTGGTTGTGGCTACTTTCTTGATTCACTTGCCCACTTCAACCTTTAATACTACTACCTCCATTCGTTTTTTTCTCTTAGTTATTTTCAATCGTAACTTAGAAGGAGACCATAGAGTCACAAACTCCAACTTGTAGCTTACTAGCTGAATAGCCTATATATGTATATGTGCCGATTTTTCTGGTTTTCATTTTCAGACCAGAATAAGTATGAAGGAAATACATATCAGACACCATTTGGAGACTGAGTCCATGCGGGGAGCAACAAGTGACGAGGCCGGGACCCTTGTTGTCATTCAACTCTCTTTCTCTCTCTTCGGATATAATCTCTCTCGCATTTTTTCCAATTTGATCATTACCACTTTCACATCTCTCTCTCTCTCTCTTTATTGCTCGCCATCTCTTTATCTCCTCTCCTTCTTCCTCCTCTCACATATCAACTTTGAGCACACAAGTTTTATGGTAAATCAATCATCCTTTTGCTTTATCTTTTTTTTTCTCTCTCTTTTGGTATTCATAAACTACAGGTGTGTGATTTACTCATTTAGCAATACAAGTGAATAAAACTTCGACTTGAATATTTAATTTTCTTTCTCTATTTTTCTCTCTCTTTTTAGCTAAAGTTTTGATAACTTTCTCATCATACGTTCCTCTTGAACGCAGAGAAGTCTAAGATGAAGTTCATGAAAATCGGGACAAAGCCTGACACTTTCTACACTCAAGATTCTTCAAGGTTGTTCTTCCATCTCTCTGCCTCTAGTTTCTCAAGTCCCATCTTTCTGATAGATTTTATTTATACTGCAGGATTTTGATAACCGACACACCCAACGATCTCGTTATTAGAATCGACAGCACCACTTACCATCTCCACAGAGTATGTTTCCATTGACTTTATTCTTGTGGCAATACACACACCCACACACATGTGTAATATACTTGTGTGATCGTATGCAGTCTTCTCTTGTTCCAAAATGTGGGCTGTTGCGAAGGCTTTGCACTGACTCAGAGGAGTCTGATAGTGTTACCATAGAGCTGAATGACATACCTGGAGGAGCCGATGCGTTTGAGCTGTGTGCTAAGTTCTGCTACGGCATTACCATCAACCTCTGTGCTCATAACCTTGTGAATGCCCTCTGCGCCTCCAAGTTTCTTCGGATGTCTGATTCTGTTGACAAAGGAAATCTGTTTCCAAAGCTTGAATCTTTTTTCCACTCCTGCGTTCTCCAAGGCTGGAAAGATTCCATCGTCACTTTGCAGTCCACTGCTAAATTGCCAGAATGGTGTGAGAATCTTGGAATCATCAGAAAATGTATAGATTCGGTTGTGGAGAAGATTCTCACTCCCACTTCAGAGGTTTTTGTTCATTTTTCACTTTTGAGTCCCGGTTATGTTCTTGCACATCCATTTAATCTCTCTTTTCGTTTTGCAGGTCTCCTGGTCTCATACATACACCAGACCAGGCTACCAAAAGAGAGAGCACCACTCTGTTCCAAGAGACTGGTGGACGGAGGACATATCAGACCTTGACTTGGACTTATTCCGCTGTGTTATCACAACAGTCAGGTCAACCTTCACGCTGCCGCCTCAGCTCATCGGTGAAGCTTTGCATGTATACACTTGCCGTTGGTTACCATACTTCAAATCAAACAGCCCTTCAAGTTTCTCTGTTAAAGAAAACGAAGCAGCACTGGAAAGGCATAGACGTGTTGTTAACACAGTTGTGAATATGATTCCTTCAGATAAAGGGTCGGTTTCAGAGGGTTTCTTGTTAAGACTTGTTAGCATAGCGACTTATGTGGGAGCTTCTCTTACGACAAAGACAGAGTTGATTAGAAAAGCTGGTCTGCAACTCGAGGAGGCAGCTCTTGCAGACCTCTTGTTGCCTTCACACTCATCCTCTCATCGCCATCGTTATGATACCGACTTGGTTGCTGCAGTTCTCGAGAGTTTTCTAATGCTCTGGAGAAGACAGTCTTCTTCGCATCTTTCTAGTGACAACAATCAGTTGCTGCATTCAATCAAGAAGGTGGCAAAGCTTATCGACTCCTATCTTCAGGCAGTCGCACAAGATGTCCATATGCCAGTTCCCAAATTCGTGTCTCTTGCTGAGGCAGTGCCCGACATTGCACGGGAGAGCCATGACAGGCTTTACAAAGCAATCAACATATATCTCAAGGTATCAGATGCTTTGGCCTGCTACAAGCTATGGTTGACAGTCACACCAGTCTACTTTGAGCAATCATCCATTTTAATGCACAGAAACTGCATACAGTACTTTGAACTGAAACACATTGGTTACATTGCAGGTGCATCCCGAGATAAGCAAAGAAGAGAAAAAACGATTATGCAGAAGTCTTGACTGCCAGAAATTGTCTGCAGAGGTACGTGCACACGCTGTGAAGAACGAGAGGATGCCATTAAGAACGGTCGTCCAAGCCCTCTTCTTTGACCAAGAGAGCAGTTCCAAGGGCGTGTCAGGTCGATCAGAGATCCACGACCTCTTCTCAAGAGGTAAAGAGACGCCCATGGATGAACAAAGCATGATGCACAAACTTAACCTAGGTCCAGCTGAAACAGCTTCTATAGGGAAAGCTAAGAGCGTACGTGAGGGAGGAGGCAAAAGAGGAGAAGAGAAAATCACATCCAGTACAGAACCCAAGAAACTAGTGCGGCAAGGAACAGGATCAGAGCATAGGCGTCATGTAAGTAGAGACAGGTAGTGGACCAAACGTGTTAAGCCACAGAAGTTCAGTCTCTTGTTTGCAATCACCAGGTTTCTGGTTCTTTTTTTTTCTTTATAAAAAGAATTGATGATAATTGTAGATGGTTCAATTGGCATTATTTGTATTAATACAGTGCAGAGCCCAAGCTCCTTGCTCAACCATTTTTCTTCAGCTTATATGCTCAAGAAAGCGATTCTGCAACTACCATCTTTGTTTCAATATTTTACCCATTTCTCATCACTCACCTGAAATCAAGCATTGTTCGACACTCAAATGTCCTTTGTTTGCTATATTATTGAAAATTACTGTTATTTAGATAGAGACATACAGATAGATACCATAGAATCACGTGAACTAAGCTTGTAAAAGAGTAAGGAGGATAAATAGAAAGGAAAAAAAAACACTCAATTTTAGTAAGGGGGATAGATTGCCTTGATAGTTGCATTGTTTTTGATCATACACAAGAGATTATAACTATAGCTTACAAGATCTTCGCTTCACTCTCTCATTCTTTCCTACCATCTAACCTTCTCAAGGGTCTCACGGTGCTTGCCCCTTAACATTTCTTTTCAAAATCAGGCTGGTTTGTGACTGAGCGCACCCACGCCCACTTGTGGCAACTCGTGTTCACTTCATTCTTAGCCTGTGCCACCTCCTCCAATGGAATATAAGCATAGTTCCCATTGACCGGGCCAGACACGAACCCTGTGTAACCAGCCATGATTCCGTGGATAGCCGAGTGAGCCAAGAGCGTACAATACAAGTTATCCGTAGCATTTGCAGGTACAGCTCTTATCATGTAAGTGGGATCAATATACTTCACAGTGAACAGCTCCCCTGGATGATCTCTCCCCCACCATTCCTTGAGCGCTGACTTCAACCAAACTCCAACATCCAAGAAAACTAAGTTCCCAGATTCATCCCTCTCTTGTTTCTGCGTCTCATTCCTTGGGATCATCTCTTGTCCAGCCCCTTCAGCCACAACAAGCACGGCGTGCTTATTATCTTTCAGTCTCTGCTCTAGAAACTCAAAAAGACCTCCTTTGCCTTCAAGGTAGAAACCCATCTCAGGGATCAAACAACAGTCCACATCACGGCTACTGAGAGTGGCGTGTAGTGCGATGTGCCCAGTACTTCTCCCCATTAGCTTCACTAGCCCAATGCCATTGATCGCACTCTCGGCCTCCACGTGAGCTGCAGATATAGCCTCCTGAGCCATCTCCACCGCCGTTTGAAACCCGAATGATCTATCGATGATGCCAACATCGTTGTCCACTGTTTTCGGAATACCTGTGATTCCCACCTCCATTTTCCTTCGGCTTACTTCCTTGAAGATCGCGACGGCTCCACGCATCGTCCCGTCTCCTCCTATTATATAGACCTGATGATGATAAACACAACGAAAGAGGATTTGCTTTTAGTGATTCAGTGAAGCGTTACTCAATTGAGATTGATCAAATCAAAATCATAGAGAGTGAAACGGACCTGGTTATAACCTTTGATTTGGATCGCATCGACGATTTTAGCGAGATCGAAGCCGCCACGGGAGGTAGCGAGGACAGTGCCGCCTTTCTTGTGCCAATTATGAACAATCTTTGGGTTTAGCTCGACGGCTTCCATGGAATAAAAGCCTCTGTAACCAGCTGGAATCCCATAGATCTGTCTCACACCGTAAAGCTCCCAGAGAGCAACCACAAGCTCTCTAATGACGGTGTTCATGCCCGGGCACAACCCACCGCAAGTAACGATCGCCGCCTTGACAGATGAAGGCTCGTAGAGGATCTCCCGGCGAGGACCGGCTCTGTGGTAGGCGACGAGTGGCTGAGAGTCGGAGGAGAGGTCGTAGACGACTTGGGAGAGGATGACGTCGGAAGGATTGATGTAGAAGCCATGAGAAGGGTGGAAGAAGGGATTTTCTTCTAGTGGGTTCCGGCGTTGACGGAGGCCGGTGAGTGATGGGAGCTTTTTGATGATAGTTGCGTCGGTCATCGGAAAAATCGAAGAGAAGAGAGAGGTTTGTGGTAATGGCTGAGCTCAGGAATCAAGAAGAAAATGAGGATAGTAAAATCTGTGTTTTTCAGAGTGGCAGATTGGGAAAATAATATCTTATAGTGAGATATTTATTTTTGGAATAATCTGATGAGTCTTTCCCTTCTGCAAATAGCGTCTGACCAACGAACGATTTCCACCGTCTTCTTTTAGGAAAATCGAATCGGAACGTTTGGAAGGTACATGGCGGAGACGTGGCAAGCGCAGCCGTGCAGACCCCGACACGTCGCTTGAGGGAAATCGCTTTATTTCATTTAAAACATTATTATATAAATAATGGGCTTGGGCTTTTACAAAGCTCAAACGAAAAAAAAATTTGCTAATGACTTATTAATTCTATTTTTAAAATAAAATAAGCTGTAATGGTACTCTATATGTTGCTTTATAAATAGAGAAATGAACAGTTGCTCTATATTTAGAGCAATACTATTTATACCTCTATTTTTAGAGTATAATTTTTTTATTTACAAAACAATCCTCTAGTTTTAATATATTTTTATTTTATACTTAAACAATAATATAAATAACAATATAACACTGAATTCAATTTATACTACTAATAACTTATTATAAAATTATTTTAACTTAAATTTTAACAACAATATATATTTTAAATTTTTAAAATTTTTAAATTATTTCAACTCAAAATAAAATAGAAAGAATATTTTAAAATTTTCAAAAGTAGGAAGTCTTATCAGCAATTAATTTTAAAGAATAAAATATAATATTTATTTTTAGAGTCAGAGAGATGTTTCAAATTAATCTTAGAACACAAGGATAGTGAAGAGAGGAATGCAACTCTTTTTGCAACAGAATAAAGAAACAGAGAGAATGTGTGGGTCCAATCTTGTCTCCCTTTTCTTTATTGGTTTGAAAAATTTGTGCGCCTCTTGAGCACTTCTTTACAAGAAAGAGCAGTCAAAAACACAAGAAAGCGAAAGAGTCGGTCAATTTTTTATTTGAAATTGCCACCTTTACCCTTTTTTCTCCATGATGTCTCTTAATAATAACTTCAGGCAGAAAGAATGTTGGCCGCTACTATCTTCAAAGTTCAAACAGTAGAGTCATCCCTCGAGAGATAGAGAGGTAAAGATTCTTTGTCGTCTTCCTTTGTCTACTCGTTGCAATGGGACGAACAATTTCAAAGCTGAGGACGGCTACTAAGCAATTGGTGTTGGCTGCCTTTCGTTCTCTTTCTCTTCTTCATCCTCAGGTAATCTGCTTTTCTTCCTTTCTTTTGCTTTCTATCTGGATTTTCATGAAGTTTCCTTTTTTGGGTTTACCTATTCAAACTCAATGATAGATGTGTGGATTGTTTTACATGTGAAACAGAGTTCCCGGGGATGCACAGTTATTATAAAGCAAGATAAGAATTGTTCTCTGCCCCATCAACTTGACGAAACCATAGATAAATCAGACTCTAGTAGCAACACTCATTCTTCTTCTCCGGTATCACCCTCACATTTTCCTTACTTTGGTTTTAGCTTACATGTTTTTTCCTCATAGGTGTCTTTGTTGCTGCAGCAGATCTTGTGCGCTATTTGTCTAGAACCTCTGAGTCATTGTAATGAAGCTATGTTCACGGGACAGTGCTCTCATTCCTTTCACTTTTCGTGCATTGCTTCCAATGTAAGTCATGGAAGTGTCACTTGTCCGGTTTGCCGTGCTCACTGGACCCATCTCCCACGCCTGTCCAGACGCCAACAAGAAGACCCTGCTCTTCGCATTCTCGATGATTCCATTGCCACTTTCCGCATCCATAGGTCCTCTTTCCTCCGCTCTGCTCGCTACGACGATGATGATCCTATCCATCCTCCTTCTTCCACAAGTTACCCTCGTCTACATTTCTCTTTAATCCCTCTCACAGTCGTTGCCCGCAACTTGATCTCTTATCCATCCCCTTCCCATCTTCACCAAGGTGCTTATTCTCCATTACACATGTGTAGAAATGGGTTGGACACAAACCATAATCAGTTAAACACTCTGTTTTCTCCATCAGTGCGGCCAAAGCCACAAGATTGCCAATGTTTGTGCAAGAGAAATGCTTACCTCTCAGTGAGACTGGCGAATCCACAACCCATTGACTTGGTCTTGGTTGCGAGTCCTAGCGGGCCACATACTCGTCTTCTCAAGCAGGCAATGATATTGGTAACCTCCTCCCTTCGACCGGTTGATCGTCTAGCCATAGTGACCTACTCGTGTGTCGCTGCACGTGTGTTTCCTCTAAAACGCATGACCTCATGTGGAAAACGGGCAGCTCTTCGAGTGATTGACCGTCTCTCCTATATGGGACAAACTGATCCTTGTCAAGCCATCTTTAAGGGCATTAAAGTACTCAAAGATCGTGCATACAAGAATCCACGGTGCAGCATTCTACATATCTCCAGCGATCCTATGAGATCATATTATCCAAGCAGCGTCATGCAGACGGGTTTCATGGTCCATAGGTTTCACGTGGGATTTGGTGCTGAGACTTGGGGTTTTGTGATGCATAAGCTGGAAGAGCTTTTAGAAAAGGTGTTGGGAGGAGTAGTGAGTGATATCCAGCTGAGATTTGGGATGGAAGGGAAGATTGTTAAAGTTGGCGAGTTGAGAGGAGGTGAGGAGAAGCAAGTGTTGCTAGATCTTGGTGTGCATTTTAATGTTCGTCTCTGTTATAGCTATGTTGAAGGAGACACTGATGAGTGTGTCAGGAGAAGAGGAGAGACGACATTGAGCTTAATTGACGACAATGAAGGGGTAAAAACCGATGAGTGTGACTATATGAACACCACTAGTGTGAGAAGAAGCATTAATACTGAAACTTGGGACTATCATGATCCTTTTATGGCCAGAAGATGGGCAAAGCGGTTGCATGAAACTAGTAATTATTCTTACTTGTGAACTTTCTCAAGATTGCTTCTGTACCAAGAATTCATGATTGAATCAACACTAGAAAAGTACCTGCGAGGCTTTTCATATATTTCTCTTAAATATAATTGTTATTGTTACTTGTCCATTCTTGTCTGTACTCAATCAATCACCCGTATGGCAGGATATGTATTTGGCTTGAAAAACCAAGTACTTGTACTTGTTAAGCAAGTACTTGTATTTATATTTGTTAAGACAAGTAATAAGTTGTAAATTTTTATTATTTGCAAGTACAAGTCAAGTATCAAGTAATAAAAAAAAATTAACTACCTAACTTGTATTATTTGATTTATCCTCTTTATCTTCTTCGACTTTTTTTTTTTTCATTCTAGGTTTTCTTCTTTTATCCTCTTTGTCTCTTATTCTTACTAATCTTGTGTACGTATTTTTCATCTTCATCTACTTCATTTTCTTTACATTTTATTTTTTCTTTTTACTCCTATTTTTTTACTATTTTTTATTGTTTTTTAACTCTTTTTTTCACCATCGTCGTTTTTTCCATTCTTTTTTCCAAGTTTTTACTCTTTTTCTATTTGATGAAAAATAATAATTATAAAAAGTCTATCTATTAGTTGAGTCATTAACTTTAGTTTTAGTGTTCTTGTTTTCATTTAAATGAAAATTAATTATTATTTTAAAATGCATGAATTAATTAAATTATTAACTTTAATTTTTATTTTTTGCTGATGTGGATACCCTATATGAAAAGAAAACTCTCCTATTATATATAAGATTTGTTACTCGTTTTTATGTAGGACAAATTAATAATTATTGATTTTCCTTTGTCCCACATCGACAAAAGAGCTCTGGAACAAGTTAAAAATATCTATATATAATGAGAATATGCATATATTATCCCCTTACCGTATTAAGCTTCATCACTTAATACCGTATTAGGATTTTTGATAACCATTTATTGGGCTTTTATTTAAAATGGGCCATATCCCCAACAAGTTTCTTGATGTTCTACTACTTTATGTTATTGATTCAGGAGTTGAAAACGCACTTGTTTCTCATATGATTTCCTTTATAGTTCCATTCGTAAATTTGACAAGATGCAATGATCAAGTGCAAAATGTGAATCCTGTTTGACGTTTGTTGAAAGTTGAACATTCTTTTGGTTCCTTGCTCCAACATATGAAAATGCTCTGCAACAAGCACCAAATATGTCTTACAATTACCGGAGGGCCATTAGCATATTGGGCCTTGTTTAAAGTACAATATATGATTGGCCTTCCGAAGCTACGTATTAATATGGATGGATATTCAATCGAATCATCCAGCAAAAGAGCAAAAACTGGCTAACATCAAAGTTGGAATGGGAATCTAAACGGAAGAGAATTATATTATGCCGGAGTTCTCGCCGGCGAGATGTAAACGTAACCAAAAGTTTAATAAGAATAAAATAAATAAAAAGTGCAAGGCTTGGAGGTGGAGGTTCCGTACGTGAGATAGAAATGGAAAAGTAAAATTGAAATGGTCAATGAAAAATGGAAAAGTCAAATCCTCAAAGCCTTCCTCAACCTTGACGCGGAATGAATAATAAGTCTCCGGCGACATTCATCTCTCTCTCTCTCTCTCTTTCTATAATACGGCACCGCCATAGATTGGATTCAAGGACTTGAGAGTTAAATCAATCAGCTTTATTGTGAATGATTCTCTTAATTTGATTTTTGTTGCTTGTGATTTGTGTGATCCGTCTTTCAAAACCTGCCACTCATTAATGGCGGGCCCTCTCTCGTAAAGACCATCCCTTTCCAAAGTCTTGCTCCATTGTTCTTTCCTTCTTTCGAGTTTTTTCTTCCCCATTTCGTGTTTCTGGGGAACTGGGTTCTTTCCTCCTACTGACGATCGAGCCCTCGTCGATTTCATTTCTGTGAATCCCTCTAGGCGGGAGAGATGAAGCTTCAGGTCCGAGTGTTGGAAGCGAGGAATCTGCCGGCGATGGATCTCAACGGATATAGCGATCCCTACGTCAGATTGCAGCTTGGAAAACAGAGGTCGAGGACCAAAGTAGTGAAGAAGAACTTGAATCCCAAATGGGCTGATGATTTCAGCTTCGGCGTCGACGATTTGAACGAAGAGCTCGTCGTCTCTGTTCTTGACGAGGATAAGTACTTCAACGACGACTTCGTCGGGCAGGTTAGAGTTCCCGTTTCCCAAGTTTTCGATGCAGAGAATCAATCTCTGGGCACTGTATGGTATCCTCTTCTCCCTAAGAAGAAAGGTTCCAAAAAAGATTGTGGTAAGCCCTCCTATCTCTTTCTCTGTGTGCTTTTGACTATATTGAGCTTGTCTCTGTGTAGTATTTAGGCAAAGTTTGGAAATTTAGTTTTCATGGTTGATCCATCCTGTCCAGGTGAAATACTTCTTAGGATATGTTTCAGTCAGAAGAACTCGGTTCTTGATTTGAACTCTGATGGCTCTCCTTCGAGGACTCTTGAGTTGGGACTGGAGTCTCCTGCTGATCCCTCCACTTGTGCCTCTCCTTGTAGATCCGAAGATGCTTCATGTTCCAAGGATTCGCAGAAAACCTTTGCTGGTCGAATCGCTCAGATATTCCAGAAGAATGCTGATGTTGCCTCACCTACACAGTCGGTCAGTAAGAGCATTGACACGTCTGATCCATCATCTGAGGTCTCTAGATCAATCTTTTCCCTCGAGCTGTCTGAAGATGAGTCATCTCCTGCTGCTTCCTTTGAGGAAGTAATGAAGGCCGTGGAGTCGAGAGATCAGGGGAATGAACCTCCTAGTAATCTACCAGGTGGGATCCTTGTGGACCAGTTGTTTATGATTTCACCATCAGACCTCAACACAGTGCTTTTCGCATCCGATTCGAGTTTCTATGCATCATTGACTGAATTGCAAGGGACCACTGAAGTTCAAATAGGACCTTGGAAAATTGAAAATGAAGGGGAGAGCGTTAAGCGGGTTGTAAGTTACCTCAAGGCTCCAACCAAACTTATTAAGGCTGTCAAAGGCACAGAGGAGCAGACATACCTCAAAGCAGATGGGGAGGTTTACGCTGTTTTGGCAAGTGTTACCACTCCTGATGTCCCATTCGGAAGTACCTTCAAGGTTGAGGTGCTTTACTGCATCTCTCCTGGGCCTGAGCTGCCTTCTGGGGAGAAATGTTCCCGTTTGGTAATTTCATGGAGATTGAATTTTCTTCAGAGCACCATGATGAAAGGTATGATAGAGAATGGAGCCAGGCAAGGTCTAAAAGACAGCTTCGAACAGTATGCCAACTTATTGGCTCAAAATGTAAAGCCTGTGGATTCAAAGGACATTGGTCTGAATAAGGAGCAAGCTCTCTCTTCCTTGCAAGCGGAACCCCAATCAGACTGGAAATTGGCAGTACAATATTTTGCTAATTTCACTGTATTCTCCACTTTCGTGATGGGTGTTTATGTATTTGTCCATATTGTGTTTGCCTTACCTAGCGCAATCCAAGGCCTTGAGTTTAATGGCCTTGATTTACCGGATTCAATTGGGGAATTTGTTGTTAGTGGGGTTCTCGTTCTTCAGTGCGAAAGAGTATTGCAATTGATTTCCCGTTTCATGCAGGCAAGAAAACAGAAAGGTAGATATCAACGACCATTCACTTGTGGCCACTCATTGCTAGCCTTCTGTGTGTGTCTGACTGATCATTAACTACCAATTTCAATTTATAGGCAGTGATCATGGCATTAAAGCGCATGGAGATGGTTGGTTGCTAACTGTTGCTCTGATTGAGGGTGTCGATTTAGCAGCTGTAGATCCAAGCGGGCATTGTGATCCATATATCGTATTTACTTCCAATGGGAAGACGAGGACCAGCTCCATTAAGTTCCAAAAATCTCATCCTCAGTGGAATGGTAACTGGTTCCTCTATGGTTTACTTATGTCTAGTTATCTTAGTGGTAGCATGAGTCTTGTCCTCAAAACCGACTTTTTATCCACTTGTTGATTCAATTCTTGAATGATTTGACTCTTTGATTTGTCACCATAAGTTTTGTTGAGGGTTGGGATCTTGTTTGTGCAGAAATATTTGAATTCGATGCAATGGCTGATCCTCCTTCTGTACTGAATATTGAAGTTTACGATTTTGACGGACCTTTTGACGAGGCTGTCTCACTGGGACATGCCGAGATCAACTTTGTGAGATCTAATATATCTGATCTAGCGGATGTTTGGATTCCACTTCAAGGGAAACTGGCTCAGGCTTGTCAATCCAAGTTGCACTTGAGGATTTTCTTGGATCATACAGGAGGTGGAGATGTTGTTAGAGACTACTTGAATAAGATGGAGAAAGAAGTGGGCAAGAAGGTATGTGGCTACTTCTTTACTCTCTATTAATTAAATCATATAATCTGCTATTCTTGGTGCGCGTTCTTATGGGATGAATGGAATTTTCAGATTAACGTGCGGTCTCCTCAAACAAATTCAGCCTTTCAGAAGCTCTTTGGTCTCCCACAAGAAGAATTTCTGATCAATGACTTTACATGTCACTTGAAGAGGAAAATGCCTTTGCAGGTGACAGAGATCTTTTGATGTACATCACAATTTTTTTGAACAGCATGCTCTTTTCACCACCTTTTTTTTTCAAGTATCAAACATTTAGTTAGTTTTGTTTCTGCAGGGTCGTCTTTTCCTGTCTGCAAGAATTGTTGGCTTTTATGCAAGCCTTTTTGGTAACAAAACGAAATTCTTTTTCCTGTGGGAAGATATAGAGGATATTCAAGTGCTTCCTCCAACTCTTGCTTCGATGGGGAGTCCCATTATCGTCATGACTCTCAGACCAGGTAGGGGAATGGACGCGCGGATAGGTGCAAAGACACATGATGAGGAAGGCAGGCTTAAGTTCCATTTTCACTCATTTGTGTCTTTCAATGTGGCACAAAAGTAAGTCACAAGTCTTCCTTGATGATTTATTTGCTATTTGATTGCTCGCTCTTATCAACATCCTACATTTCTGTGCCTCAACCAATATGCTTAACTCTTGGATATGCCCATTTTCTTATCTGAATATGAAAATCGGTAGTGTCCTGTAGTCTCATCCTTCTAGACATGTTCAGAGGTGGATGAAGTCCTGCTTTTTAGACAAATGAACAACTATTCTGATAAGATATAGACTTTGGACTTGTTTTGTGTTTACTTAGGACAATAATGGCTCTGTGGAAAGCAAAATCCTTGACCCCAGAGCAGAAAGTGCAAGCTGTTGAAGAGGAATCAGAGCAGAAACTCCAAAGTGAAGAGAGTGGCTTGTTCTTGGGTGTTGATGACGTACGATTCTCTGAGGTCTACTCTTTGACTCTCTCTGTTCCGGTGAGTTTTTCTCTTTCATCGAGAGCTATAAAGCTTTAAGCAAGAATGTATTTGAGATTTGAATATGGTCTCACGCAAGTCTCTGATAACTCTAGGTAAGTTTCTTTATGGAGTTGTTTGGTGGAGGCGAAGTGGATCGAAAGGCAATGGAGAGAGCGGGTTGCCAGAGCTATTCATGCAGCCCATGGGAGTCAGAGAAGGCTGATGTGTATGAGAGGCAGACATACTACAGAGATAAGCGGATATCACGGTATAGAGGAGAAGTAACAAGTACACAGCAAAAGTCCCTTGTGCCAGATAAGAACGGTTGGCTTGTCGAAGAGGTCATGACTCTCCATGGAGTTCCGTTGGGCGACTATTTCAATCTCCATCTCCGATACCAGATGGAAGAAGTAGCGTCAAAACCAAAGACAACGTACGTGCGAGTATACTTTGGGATTGAATGGCTAAAGAGCAGTAGACATCAGAAAAGAGTGACAAAGAACATCCTTGTAAATCTACAAGATCGGCTGAAGATGATATTTGGATTCTTGGAGAAGGAGTATGGCAGCAGACAACAGCAGCAAGTAGCATAATACAGTTAGACTTTGGTCTGAAAATGGATTTTCCGGAGTAATATCCATTATTCCAGTTTGAAAAGGTTGCTCTTGTACGCACACAAACAGCCAAATGAAGGAAGAGATGGAGTTGAAGCTCAAGCTCAAACCCATACGTTCCTTATTCTTCTTACGTCATAAAAAGATGACTTGTTGTCTGTAGTGAAAAGAGCAGAGCTTTGTGATTATGTTGATGCTCTGCCTAAACCTCTTCGAAAATGATTAAAATTGTAGTCGCTTCGTGTGTTGTTTCCTTGAATTTTCCATGCTTTCCCTTAATACTATCTTTTCGGGCGGGCACAATTATCGTCCGTACTCATTATGCCCCGTCAAAACCAAGTAATTGTTTTGATCAAGAATATAAATATGTTAAAAAAATTACTTACAAGTATAATGCAAGTATTAAGTATTAAAAAAAAGTTATTATTTGATTTTATTGATTCGTTATTCGTTTTTAATCTTTGATTTTTTTTTAATTTTGTCCCACATCGATTACCACATAAAAAATGAAAGAAAAATCTATTTATAAAAAGATAAATAAGTTGCTAGACTTTAATATTTAAAGATTTTAAAAATTCAAATGTCAAAATATTAAATATTATCATGGATTTTAATTAAATATAATTTAAATTTTTTTTAGTATTTTATTTATATGTTTACAAGTAACGAGACAAACCAAATAACTTGTAAATAATAAACTTCTAAGTGAGATATTTGAACGGGCGGATCAAATATCAACCAAAAATGGCAAGTATTTGTCTCCAGCTGCTCGCGGATAGTAACGACAAAAAAAAAAAGCTCGCGGATAGTATCAATTTGGGCCTGGTTTTTGAGAGAGTGTCAAACCCCGTATAAGGCCCATTTAGTATACAGTCTAAAGTAAAAGTCTAATACCATCTCCGGCGTTTGACGTTCACACTCTCCGACCTCACACTCTCCACCTCTCTGCCCCATCTTGCTCGGCAGTAGTCATGTCGGAGAAAGGAGGAAAAGGGATAAAATCTTCTCTCAAATCTCCTTCCAAATATGGTATCGTATTTCGAAGCCTTTTCATAAGTTTTGTTTTTACCTTTTTCTCTTGACATTGTCTTAGACTTGGTTTTGGGGTTTTTGGTGTAGGATCCGGCAAGGATGATAACTCAACCAAATCTAAGAAGACGAGGAAAGTCCAGTTTGATCCTCTAGGTTTTCCTTTTTCTTTCTGCTCTGCTTCATTCCAAATAAAAGTCCAAACTTTTTTCGTGTGATATTTATAAATGTTCATCTTTTGTGTTCGTGTTAGGCACATCGGATTCTAAGTATAAGATTGTGCAAGACTCTGATTACCAATTTCAAGGATCTTCTGCTAAAGGTTTCAGTTGTTCATTTGTCGATGTGCTTACAATTTTTTGTCTTGGCTGTTCACATTGTGTATCATTTTGCTTAAACTTTGGCCTTCTTTGACTAAAGGTGGGAAAGGAACCAACGCTAAGAAAATTACTCGGTCCAAAGAATCTCAGCCGCTTGAGCTCAAGACTGAAAAGGGTTTGTACATCTGCTAATTGCTCTGTCAAAGCCCGTCTGTGCATTATGTTCATTCTGGTTGGTACATGGTAATATCTGTTGATACTGTGTGATGGTCTTTGCAGAGCTTCCAGAGAATGCCAAGTGTTTGATGGACTGTGAGGCTTTTCAGATTCTAGAAGGCATCAAGGAACAACTAGCTGTGTTATCTGACGATCCTAGCATAAAGATTCCTGTGTGAGTAACATTCACGACATTGTATTTTTATATCCATGTAAGGAAGGTCTTGGGTTCTCTAACATGCGGTTTGTTTCCAGATCTTTCAACAGAGGACTGGAGTACCTGAAACTTGGTAGTTGCTACACGAACCCTCAATCTGCCAGACAGATCCTTGAGTATCCTTTTTTAGCTGCCTTCATCTTAGATGCTGATTTAATATCGTTTCCTATTTGATTCGATTCTGTGTTTATATAACTTAACGAGTATGATATCAGACCTCTAAAAAAGCATGGTGTCTCTGAAGGCGAGGTAGTAAATTCTCTCTACCAAAGAGCCTCAATTCAGACAACAAACCCTTGAGCACCTTCTAATTTTTTTGTCTTGTTATGTGCAGCTGTGTATGATTGCAAATGTCTGCCCAGAAAGTATTGATGAAGTTTTTGCCTTTGTTCCATCCATGAAGGTATGAGTCTCGTTCCTTAGAATCAAGTGTATATTTTCCGGTTTTCATCTCGAATTTGTATAGCAAAAAAAAGCCAACTTAGTTTTTTTTTTTTGCTTTGTGGATTTATCCAGGGGAAGAAAGACAAGATCAGTCAGCCTTTAGAAGAGGCATTGACGAAGCTATCCAAACTCAAATGATCTACTTAAGGGAGTAATTGCTAGATAATGAATAATTCGCACTGATGAATGGTTTAACCGTAGTAGTAAAGATGTTTTGGTTGGGTTAGGGGGTTTTGGGCATGAATTGCATCAAGTAAGATCGGTCTTGTAAATGATCTAATGCTGTCACAACTACATTTTCTGTTTGTTTTAACCTGTTCCTTTCTTAAAAACTAGCAATACAGTTGTATGGAATGTTCTTAATCTTGCAAAGACAAGTAACTCTTGCCATTTTCATCATGCAACAGAGTTCATTCCAGCAAAAGAAAACAGATAGCAAACTGAAAGCAAGTGGTTTTCAACAATTTAAATGTCCAAAAACTAGAAAATGCGAACAGAAAACATGTAAAATGCTGATCCAACGACACATCATAAATATAGAAAAGCAATAAAAGTTAGATGATTATAAGACTACATATTAGAAACGTAGACGATCTCAGTGAAACCTACTTTCCTCTTGAGAGTTTTGGCAAGGTCAGCTAGTTCCACTTTCACTCCCTCCACCACCAGTTTGTCTTCATCCTCCAAGCGAACCGCTGTAACTCCTGAAAAACGTATGTTTTTTTCCATTAGGCTTTGTGTTTTTCTGATTTTGTTCTGTGTTGTTTTTGGTTCTTTTAAATTACCTTTTGATCCAGCTGCGATCTTGAGTGCTTTGGTCTTGCTCTTTTGACACCTCATACGAACATTCAGCACCATGAGTTGCTGATCACAATGCCACATTCGTCTTAAAAATCAAATGCTGCAAATATATGATTTGATCAAATGGAAATAAAAAAGAAGAAAAGAGATGATCGATCTTGTACCTTTGCCATATCTTGTAGGTGTAGAGAGAAATTCAAAGATGCTTTGCTTTCTGAGAAAAGTAGTGCTCTTGAAAAGTTTTCAGAAACAAGTAAAGGAGCGGTTAGCTTATGAAGAAGATGAAACTTATGGACATTAATGCCAACTTAAAGAGAGGTACAGAGTTCTCATGTGCTATTTTGACTAATTGGCAACCTTTCTCTCCTATGTTTCCACTTCTAGTAACCATCACTGTCTTACTTTCTATTTTCATATCTCTGAAAGCAATGCCTTGACGTCGACAATTACGATTTCACGTCTAGTGGTCCCATTGGCCATTTTGATGGCACGCTCCTCCGTTAAAACCTGAATTGGTTTTTGATGAAGGGAAGGTTTAACTACCACAGGAAAAAGAGAAAAGAAAAGCTGTGCTATATAAAGGGTACTTGATGATAACCTCTGTTCTTACTCAGATTGATCTACATCCCGATATTTCCGTTGATATCTGTTAAAGATACGTCCTATATCATTCCAGTCTATATCCCTTTATTTTTTATCTTCATTAAAATTTAGATACAAGCTCCCGTTTAAATAGCATGGTCACAAACTTTTATATTGATATATCCTCTTCTCCACTTTCTGCACAGATACAAGCTATGGCGAAAACTCTGCTTGCATTGTTACTTCTTGTGTCTCTGTTTCATGTCCCTGCTTTTGCTGCGAGAAAAGTAGGTATCTCTTTTAAGGTATAAGTTCTTGTCACGTACGTAAGCGTATAGATTAACGAAACTGTTGCTTTGTTGTTTTGTTTGGCCTTAAAGTCATACATAGTTTACTTGGGATCTCACTCCCATGGCCCTGAAATCTCCCCCTTAGCCCTTGCACGCGTAGCTGAATCTCATCACGAGCTGCTCGGATCCTTTTTGGGAAGGTACATATATGACTTCACGTAAACCTTTTTTTGTTTACCCTCTCTGCCTATATTCTAAAGTGTTTGATCTGATCCTCATGCATCTTAACAGTCTTGACAAGGCTAGAGACGCAATCTTTTACTCTTACAACAGACACATCAATGGCTTTGCAGCCATTCTTGAAGAAGAAGAAGCCGCTGCGATTTCAAGTAATTCCAAAACTCTCTTTCCCTTTTTTGAGTTAACTAGAGAGTTTAACTCCGCCGTATCTTTTGAATGCAGAGCACCCGAGTGTGATCAGTGTGTTTCCGGACAAGGGCAAGAAGTTGCACACAACTCATTCCTGGGAGTTCATGCAAATGGAGAAGGATGGTGTGGTCCCTTCGAGTTCCCTTTGGTCAAAAGCAAGATTTGGTGAAGACACAATCATCGGAAACCTTGACACTGGTCTGCAATCTCACTTCCTCTGCTCCCCTCTTCCTATACTTATCAAACAACACTAAAGCCACCATCTTGTGCAACAGGTGTTAATTCCCAATCCCAAAGCTTTAGCGCAGAAGGACTTGGACCTGTTCCTTCTCGTTGGAAAGGAAGTTGCGACACTTCTGGAGATGTTCGTTGCAACAGGTTATCTATTGTCTTCCTTGGATAGACCTGTGTAGACGATTTTACAAGCTCTATAATATAACTACTAACTAATGAAATATAACCAGGAAACTTATAGGGGCAAGGTACTTTAACAAAGGGTACTTGGCTCACACGGGTCTTAAAAGCAACTCTTCCTATGAGTCGGCCCATGACAACGCAGGTCACGGGACTCACACGCTATCAACCGCAGGAGGCCACTTTGTCCCTGGAGCTAGCGTTTACGGTATACGCAACGGTACTGCGAAAGGAGGCTCTCCATTGTCGAGAGTAGCTTCCTACAAGGTCTGTTGGCCTCCCGTGGAAGGTTCTGAGTGCTTTGAAGCTGATGTCTTGGCTGCCTTTGATATGGCCATTCATGATGGTGTTGATGTCCTCTCCATCTCTCTTGGTGGTCGCCCTTCTGATTATTTCAATGACGGCATCGCCATCGGGTCTTTCCACGCTGTTAAACATGGAATCACTGTGGTCTGTTCCGCTGGAAACTCTGGCCCTGTCCCTGCTACTGTCTCAAACGTAGCCCCTTGGATACTCACAGTTGCAGCCAGCACGCTTGATCGTGAATTTCAGTCCTTTGTAAAGCTTGCAAATGGCGAACGCTTCAGGGGAGTAAGCATGTCGAAACCCTTGCAAGTAGAGAAAATGTACAGCCTCATAACCGGTGCTCAAGCTAAACTGGCCAATGCATCTGCTGTAGATGCGTAAGTTGAAAACTTTGAGCTATCATTTCATCTCTTTCTGTTGAATCTTACTATATAATTTGTTTGTTGCCTATAATCAGGATGCTTTGCAAAGAAGGCACTCTAGATCCGCACAAGGCAAAGGGTAAGATCATGGTGTGTCTAAGAGGAGATACATCGAGAGTGGGGAAAGGGAGGCAAGCAGCTCTTGCTGGTGCTGTTGCTATGATCCTATGCAATGATAAGGCATTCGGGGATGATATAACTGCAGATCATCATTTTCTTCCCGCTACACAGATCAACTTTTTGGATGGCCAAGCCGTGTTCTCTTATGTTAACACTACTTAGTATGTCTCTCATTCCCATATCCTTGTTTTGTGTACTGATACAAAGGATGGATGCTTCATCATTTTTTTACACTTTTTTTTTATCATTTACAGTTTAGATCCCATGGGGTCTCTCACTGCACCCGGAGCAGCTTTTGGCATCAAACCAGCCCCATATATGGCAGATTTCTCATCTCAAGGACCTAACTCTATTACACCAGGAATCCTCAAGGTTTTTTCTTTTATCTGTCCTCTTGAGATGCGTTCCCCTGCTTCTTTCTGTTGCTCACTTGACAGTATGTTTTTGATTAGCCTGACGTAACTGCTCCTGGAGTCAACATCATAGCTGCCTACACCAGAAAACAAAGTCTTAGCGGCTTGGAATCTGATCCTCGCACGACTCCTTTTATTACATTATCTGGCACTTCCATGTCCTGCCCTCATGTTGCGGGTCTTGTTGGTCTTCTCAAGACAATGCACCCTTCATGGAGTCCTGCTGCAATCAGATCTGCCATTATGACCACCGGTATATATATATATATATATATATATATATATGCTTAAATTCCAACTACTCTCTCCTATTTAAGTCTTTTTCTTTTGCTGGCTCTCATTCTTGCTTGCACTTGTTCTTGCTTGCACTTGCAGCAAGAACACGAGACAACAGAATGAGTCCGATGCTCAACGGGTCTTACGTGAAGGCAAACTCATTCAATTACGGATCGGGACATATCAGACCAAACCGTGCAGGAGATCCGGGACTGGTCTATGACTTGACAGTACATGACCACTTGGATTTTCTTTGCGCCGTTGGGTACAACCAAACAATGATTAAGCTTTTCTCTGAGAGCCCGTCTTACAAATGCCCCAAGGAAGCAAGTGTGTTAGACTTGAACTATCCATCCATCACTGTGCCTAATCTATCAGGCGCTGTGACTGTGACCCGGAAACTGAAGAATGTAGGATCTGCAGGCACTTACATGGCGAGAGTCCGGGAGCCATATGGAGTGTCGGTGAGAGTTGAGCCAAGTGCGTTGGAGTTTGAGAGAGTTGGTCAAGTTAAAAGCTTTAAGATGACATTGAAACCCAAATGGTCTGCGAAAGGCTCTGTCTTTGGAGGTCTCACATGGAGTGATGGCAAACATTATGTTAGAAGCCCCATTGTTGTCTCCACCGTCTAAGTGATGGAGAGATCCATTATATTAAATCTTCTTAAGTTACTGTGTTTCTCTTTCTCTTCTTACTCTTGATTGCTTATTTATTTAGATCCATTGAACTCTCATTCTTGATTTTGTGACTCTCATTTCAAGAATGTGTATATGCCAACTAAAACTGTGTCAGTTTAATTGATTAGTGAGCTGTGTTTGTGGAATCTGGACCACGCAATTCTCCTTCCTAAATACCATTAACCGAAATAATTAAACATCTTTCGATATAATTCTTAATTAAGAGGTGAATGATTTGAGAGGACTAAAAACAATTAAATGAAGCTCATCACTGTAACACCGAAAAGGATAAAAGCGTCTTTTCGTCCACCAGCTAATTTTCCACTGGGTTCTCACTGAAAACAATTCAATCATTCACAGTCCGCACACACGAGAATGCTCTGATCTGATGCGACGACGACGATGGTGAAGTTTCGCAATCTTGTTCTTTTCTTCTTGCTCCTCACCGTCGCTGCTCCTATCCTTCTCTACACCGATCCCTCCTCCGCCTCCTTCAAGACCCCATTTTGTCAGTTCTCTCTCTCTCTTCCTCATCTCCGATTTTGAATTTTCATACGATTTGGTTGTTTTCTTATCCTCTGTTTGTTTCATTCTGTAGCTAAACGAGATTTCCTCGAGGACGTAACTGCCCTGGTTCGTATTATTCTCTCTTTTTCTTCTTCCTCCATTGCTGAGGTTTTCGAGGTTTCATTCTTACGCTTTATTGTTTCTTGCTTTGGTTCTTGTTCAGACTTTCAATTCCGACGAGAATCGTTTAAATCTGCTTCCACGGGTACCATTTCCCTCGTTTCAAGTTACTTGATTCGCCCCCAGATCTTACCTCGTTTCTCAATTTTTGCAATCTTGTTCAAATGCATATAGGAATCTCCGGAAGTAGTTAGAGGAGTCGTGGGTGTAGTCTACTCCAAACAAAATTCGGATTCTTCGCGAAGGCAAGGTACCCCAAATTCTCTTTCTCTTGTTTCTTTCTTGTTCCAACTCTAATTTTACGAGTTTAGTTCATAAGATTTTTGCCTTTTCAGAAGCGAGAGACCAATTGTCTGCTCGAGTTCTTTCGACCACCGACGATGATAATCAGTCTCAAACTGAAGATCCCATCAAACAAGTCACTGATGGAGCCTCAGAGATGGATAAACCAAATGATATGCACGCTTCTGATGACAACTCTCAGAATAGGGTTCGTTTTCTATACGAATTCTACAACCTATTGTCATAATTCTTCTTTAGATCGATCAGAACTTCTTCCCGCAATAAATTAGATTGATTTGCATTGCATTTTCCTCATTGATAAGCTTGAGATTTGGATTAATAAATTAGGAGAGAACTTGTCCTTGTGGTAGATTGTCTTGCAAAATAACCAAGTTACAGTGGCTGCTACTGTAATCTTTCCTGACCACTAAATTCCCTGCTATGGCCCTCGGTGTTGTTGTGTCGAAATGATCTCTGTGCTATCATTTTAAATTGATCTCGTCATATTGTAGGAAGGGATGCATGTTCAATTGACCCAGCAAACCTCTGGAAAGGTTGATGAGCAAGAGCCAAAATCTTTTGGAGGTGAGAAAGAGAGAGGAAATGTGGTGATGCCTGATACTCAGGTGAAGCATCTTAAAGATCAGCTGATTAGGGCAAAGGTTTATCTTTCACTTCCAGCTGCAAAGGCTAATGCACATTTTGTGAGAGAGCTTCGACTCCGTATTAAAGAAGTTCAACGCGCACTCTCAGATGCCACCAAAGATTCGGATCTGCCAAAGAAGTAAGTGTCCTTGGAAATGCAGTTAATGACCAGCGGGAAAAAGTTTCTTCTGTGATTAACTTCTCTGGCATTTTTTAAACTCAGTGCTGTAGAAAAACTGAAAGCAATGGAGCAAACATTGGCCAAAGGCAAGCAGATCCAAGATGACTGTTCCACAGTGGTAAAGAAGCTACGTGCAATGCTCCATTCAGCAGAGGAGCAGCTACGGGTCCATAAGAAGCAAACTATGTTCTTGACACAACTGACTGCTAAGACGATACCAAAGGGCCTTCACTGCCTCCCTCTACGCCTCACTACCGATTATTATGCATTAAATTCGTCTGAACAACAATTCCCAAATCAAGAGAATCTAGAAGATAATCAGCTGTATCACTATGCCCTCTTCTCTGATAATGTGTTGGCTACATCAGTTGTTGTTAACTCTACTATAACCAATGCAAAGGTTAGAATTAACTTTGTTCATCTGATTGAACATCTAAATGTGTTTCTTTGTCTTGAACTTACGATCTTAATGGTTTATTTGCAGCATCCCTCAAAGCATGTCTTCCACATCGTCACGGACAGACTCAACTATGCGGCAATGAGGATGTGGTTCCTGGACAACCCACCAGGCAAAGCGACCATCCAGGTTCAGAATGTTGAAGAATTTACATGGCTGAATTCAAGCTACAGTCCTGTCCTCAAACAGCTTAGTTCTCAATCGATGATAGACTACTACTTCAGGGCCCACCATACAAATTCAGATACGAACTTGAAGTTCCGGAATCCAAAATACTTATCGATTCTTAATCATCTTCGTTTTTACTTGCCTGAGATCTTCCCGAAGCTCAACAAGGTGCTCTTCTTGGATGACGATATAGTTGTGCAGAAGGACCTCTCTGGTCTTTGGTCAGTTGATCTGAAGGGTAATGTCAACGGTGCTGTAGAGACATGTGGGGAAAGCTTTCATCGCTTCGATCGATATCTAAACTTCTCAAATCCACTTATCTCCAAAAATTTTGACCCTCGAGCTTGTGGTTGGGCATATGGTATGAATATCTTTGATCTGGACGAATGGAAGAAGCAAAACATCACAGAGGTTTATCATCGATGGCAGACTCTGGTACGCAGAATATATAATAAACTTGTGGTTTAGTTGCTTGTGTTGTGTCGGCTAGGTCCTTGATTTCAAATATGTTTGCTGATATTTATACACAAACTTTTTTTCAACTGCAGAATGAAGGCCGAGAATTGTGGAAGCTAGGGACGCTGCCGCCTGGTCTGATCACATTTTGGAGACGAACATACCCGCTAGACCGGAAATGGCACATACTGGGCCTTGGTTACAACCCTAGTGTGAACCAGAGGGATATTGAGAGGGGAGCCGTCATACACTACAACGGTAACCTCAAACCATGGCTAGAGATTGGGATTCCAAGATACAGGGGCTTCTGGGCAAAGCACGTCGACTATGAGCACGTTTATCTCAGAGAATGCAACATCAATCCTTAGAGTTAGAGAGTCTCTATTGAAGAGCACTGTATTATGTCTCAAACTTTATTTCTTTTGTTTTTTTTTTTTTGATGATATCTTCATTACAGTAAAAAAAAAAAAAAAGCGAATTTGTAGATGATACGTTAAGAGATCATTCGTTCCAATTGGCACGATCGATGTTATTATTGAAATATATCAACAAGAGGAATTAAAACCAAACAACTATTTTTTTTTTTTAGAGAAAACTCCTCTTTTTTGATGATGTCATACAAGAACATTGTTCATATGAACTCCTTTTTTTTTTCTTTTTCTGCTATGATAACAGGAGTCAAAGGCCATGAGGATCAAATTATCGTCTGAACCTCCATAATCAGAATAGTTCTCATGGGCATTGAGCAAGATAGCTTACACAGTCACCTTTGCGTTACTATGATTGAAGAATTCACTGTGTTGAGTAAATTTGTTTTGTGTTTTACCAAAGTACAGCACAAGACAGCATATATATTCATTGTTCATGCTAGTGGCGGTGTCTAGAATTAGAGAGTTGTGATCACCTCACTAGAGGAAACTCCTAACTAATAGGAATAAGGATAGACAACAACTACATGTGATACACTCAACTACAGATGCCACCTGATACACAACTCATAGATCGTCTCCTGAAACCTTGTCCAATCGATCTTCATCCCCAAGCAGTGATGTAGATGGATGGTCAAAGGCGAGAGCATGGTCTGGCTGATGGTACGTAGCGTTCAAGCCTGATTCGAGTATTGGGTGCGCCACTACCATCTCCGGTGTATAACCAGCTGCACCACCTCCTCTCACCAGCCTAGGCTTCTTTGACGATCTCTCTTCTCCTCCGCTCTCATCTTGAGACACAATGTTACACCCCGAGTCTGGTGTCAAAGGCTCTCGGTAAGATGAAAGAGAGTCATCAACTGAAAGGCTCTTGTCTGGTCCACATTCTTTGCCAGACTTATCCTGTAGGGGAGACTCGGATGTAGGGGCAGGGGTTGCAGGATCTGATTCGCCTGTTACTGGGCCAGAGGGTTCGCCAAGAACTCCACTGAGTCGTTGTTGCTCTTCAATTATCTTCTTCAAGTACTTCCCTTGTGCTTCTATCCGTAGTTGCAGCTGTCTTTGCACCTACAAAACATCAAAAGAATGTGATATTTCACGTAAATTTATTGCTTATAGTGCTCCACTGAAATACTGATTAATCCTTTTCTTTTTATAGTGGCATAGTGAAGCATACTTCTAGTTGCTCGTGCAATCGTTTCTGAACTTCCATCTGCAACTTGAGGGCCTCAGTTATCTGCATTCCCCTGTAATCGAAAAGTTATATATATGAGCCTCTTTCTGAACACTTAATCTGAAGCACCAGCTAGTAGCATCACATATCAACCCAAGACAGTGAAATTTTAACTTACGAAGAACCGTCCAAGCCAGAGAGCACATCTCCAGATTCTTTCTTATCGGTTTTCTTCCCTGAAAATTTTAAATACCAGTTTCAGAGAAATAGGCAACTGGGAGCATGAGAAAATAAAAAGAGAAACCAATGTCCACCACTTACCTTCAGAGGACGAATCTGGCAGATACTTTGCTAGTCGATATTTCTGACTCAAAACAAAATTTGCAAAAGTCAGTGGACTATAGTACAGAGAAACTGGGGGAAGCATACGTATGTAAGAGAAAGAGATAATAGACAAGGCCACACACTGGTTATCATTTCAGAATACCTGTAAGTGACTCTTGACGTGGTATATAGTTAATCCTTGAACACCCATCACTCTAAGAACGCCTTTGGGTGTAGCTCCTTTGGAAATCAAAAGGAGATAACTATTCAGTAAACTTAACCAAAATAGATAGGCTTTTGACTCTTATGACTACTATAGATGTTGGCATATAAGTATATTCTACAGAGCTATAAGAAAACCTGAGTTATTAATTACAAGGATTATTAAAAGAAGAAGGAAACTCACTATCAGGGCCACCAAGTTGAGCAACGGCATCAACGAAGCGTTCATGAAGCTCATGCGTCCAACGCAAACGTTGTTTGGATGCGTGACTAGAATTGTTCCCTCCGTTGTCTGCTTCCATCAGGCTAAGGTAATAACGTTGAAGAGAAACTAATGAGTTCTTGCTAGCTATAAAAGAAATAGAGAAAAGAAAAAAAGCCTTTCTTGTCAGAGATTTTCATGGAGTCAATTGCAGTAATAACGGTGAGAGACTTGAGTGAAGATAGACAATAATATGATAATTTCAAAGATTTGGGGACTTATAAAGAGTGACACTGGTCACCGAAATAGCCAGAAATGGAATAAATCCGAAGTCGAATTTAGGTAGTAAAAATAGTGAGCTCAAGTTTAAGACTTTCTATAAAGTTCCATCAGATTAACATCGGAGGGAATTTGTTTCCGAGAACAGAAAGCAGAAATTAAAAAAGGAAATCGAAGGTTACTGAATCTAAGAACCTGTGGGTTGGATCTATAAAAGAATCACACGGAGTCCCTCCATTTTCGGAACTTGCTCTTCTTCGTTTCTCTGACTCTCCAACACTCCAATCTAATCTGATATAGGTTCTGTCCACATGCGGGTGATGCTGTGGATTTTACTCAGTCGTCAAATCCCGATGAATCCTGGGCGGCGATGCAGCAGAGTCCTCCACCGATATTTTTTTCCAGTCGTCTCTCTCAGACGCATTCGATAGATCGAATTCGTGGCAGTGCCATTGACTCTATTGTACCTGTTTTCCATGGGCCGCCGGAACTCTCGATCTGGGCTCATAAAGGCCCAAATATTATAAATCAATTTGGTGGGTCCAAGTCAGCTAGAACAGCGACTAAGCAACCGCAGCTGCTCGCTCTCTCTTCTCCCGCTTTTCCAAGCTTCGCCGAGAAATCCTCGGTTCCCGATAATGGCGGCCATGGATTTGGAGAAATTGATCCAATTTTCTCTGTTTTGCTCACTTCTTCTCTCTTTCCACTTTATAACCGCGGAATCCTCCGCCCACATCTACCCTTCTCAGCCTTTCCACGATGTCGGTAATTCTCTCCTCCTCTACGGTGGCAGCGAAGGCATCTTCGCCTCTTCCCGATCTTTCATCAGGTTACTCCTTCTCTCTTCTACATTTTGATTTTCCATGTGATGTGTATCCTCACTGGTCTCGTGCAGGTTTGAGAACATCACTCTCTGGAGGACAAACGATGCGTCACGAAAGGGACGCAATAATGGGTTAGTACAAGCAGTGATCTTTGAGGCCTCGGATCGTAATAACATCGGTGGTTCAGCTTACGGTGGCCAAAGATCTATTTGCTGCACTCCAGATCTGGCTCAGCTTCAAGGTTGTAAGCAAGGTGAGATCATTAGGATCCCTTCTGCACATGACCCTAGATGGCCTATCCTCTTACGTGTTCGCTTCAAAGGGAAACGTTTGTCTGCTAAGATGGAAGACACTGAGATTCTCATCAGGAAGACTGGAATCTATAATCTCTTGTTTATATCGTGTGATTCGAAACTCAAGGGACTTAAAATGACCGGAAAGACTGTTTGGAAGAATCCAGAGGGATATCTTCCTGGGAGGATGGCTCCACTGATGAAGTTTTACGTATATATGTCGTTCGCATACCTGTTGCTCAGTGCGGTTTGGTTCTTACAGTATTTGAGGTTCTGGAAGGATATATTGCCACTTCAACATTGCATAACAGTGGTTATTGTTCTCGGATTGCTTGAGATGGTCTTTTGGTACTTGGATTATGCGAATTTTAACAAAACGGGGACGAGGCCTTTAGCTCTTACTACATGGGTTGTTACTCTTGGTGCTTTTAGAAAAACTGTCTCCCGCATTCTCATACTTTGTGTTTCAATGGGGTTTGGGGTTGTCAAGTCCACTCTTGGTGGTCTCACTTCTAAAGTCCTCCTTGTTGGAGTTACTTACTTCATAGCTTCTGAGATGCTTGATATAGCTGAGAATGTTGGCATAATTGACGATATTTCTGGAAGGGCAAAACTTTTTCTTGTCCTGCCTGACGCTTTCCTGGATGCATTTCTCATATTGTGGATATTTACCTCTCTTTCGAAAACACTCGAACAATTACAGGTATCTTTTTCTTTCCAAATTAGTAACTCTGTGATTAGACTCTGTAAGTTATAAAGTTTCCAGGCAAGATGCAAATCTTTATGATCGGTTCTTATGCAGGTGAAGAGGACCTCAGTGAAGTTGGATATCTACCGGAAGTTCTCAAATGCTCTTGCTGTTATGGTTGTTGCCTCTGTTGCTTGGATAGTGTATGAGGTACCATCCTGTCTAGCCTGATTTGACACTGATGTAGTAAACTGACTCAAAACTTCCTAAGCAAATGGCTGGCTATTTACGATGATTGCAACCTATCAACTAAAACTGGCGTGGAAATCAAAAATAGAAGGAGAAGATCCTTTTTTTTCTTGAAATGTAAACATCTTGCCTGATGATTTGTCCCCTGCAGGTGTATTTCAAAGCAACAGATCCATTCAATGAGCGATGGCAGACTGCTTGGACTATAACTGCCTTCTGGGATGTTATTGCATTCGTTTTGCTGTGTATAATTTGCTATCTCTGGACCCCGTCGCAGAACTCTCAAAGGTATGTTACACCAACTTGGAGGATTTTTTACCTGTCTGGCATACTAACAAAGAAGCTTGGTTTTGCGAGCTAAGACTTACTGAAATGGAAACTGTTCCAGCTGAGGATGTCATGCTAGTCTTGTCGAATACTTGGCTAGAATGCTAGTGGTTCTCATGTAGTTGTCCAATATATCGTGCCTAGATATGAAATGGATGCTAATGTGAAACTAATGATTGGACAGATATGCATATTCGGGAGAAGTGGATGAAGAAAACGAGGAAGTTCAATCTCTGACAGCAGGAAAGCAAGATGGTGATATCAGCTTAGTTAAGCAAGAGAAGAACGCTGGCTCGGACACGGAAGAAGATGTTGAAGAAGATAAGAGGGAATGAGGAGAGTCAGTAAAGAAACGGGGTTTGGCATCACAAGTCCAGGGAAGTAGAAGTAGAGTGTCTGTCTTTCATCATCAGGTCAACTTTTAGCACAAAGCAACCAAACGTTTTTATACAAAAATATCTGTAACAAAAGAAGAGTGTTTTACTGTGTGTTTGTATTTGAGGTCTATCCTCGTTTGTTTCCTAGTACATAAAAGCACCTTGTTTCTCGCCAAAGAATCAGTCTGAGTAATTGATTGTTTAGTATTTACTATACTTTCAATGATTAACCAATTTCTCTTTAGAAGATCCAACATCTGAATCATCATCCAACATTAATTCACTGAGCATCCCATTTTTAATGTATTGTGCTGAAGGTGTAAGATGCGGAAGAGAGATTGAGACTTGCCTTACTTTATCTTGTTTATTTTATTGTGATTAAAATTAAATTGGAATACAGTTTGTATTGTATACATTATTAGTAATTTCGTCAACACTGTCCTGACGCGGAAGTCTCTCTTCTCTCTCTCTCTCGCTCAATTTTTTTTCCCAACACCGCCATTGCAGTGAGTCTGGGAAGGGAGAGAGAGCTTCCTGCTTTCACCGATTATGCCTCCTCCTCCTTCCAGACCAAGTCTCAACGGCGACATCGGTCATCATAGACCTCCTCCGGTTGCTCAAACGGTGAGGCACCAGCAGCCGTATTACCGGAGCTACTCGTCGTCATCATCGGCGTCGCTGAAGGGTTGCTGCTGCTGCCTATTCCTTCTATTCGCGTTCCTAGCTCTTCTGGTACTAGCGGTGGTGCTGATCGTGATACTGGCGGTAAAGCCGAAGAAGCCACAGTTCGATCTGCAGCAAGTGGCAGTGGTGTACATGGGAATCTCGTCGCCGAATAATCCAAACCCTAGCGTTCTGGATCCAACCTCCGCTTCCATCTCCCTCACCATCCGCATGCTCTTCACCGCCGGCAACCCGAACAAAGTCGGAATCAGGTACGGAGAGTCCAGCTTCACGGTGATGTACAAAGGCATACCACTGGGAAGAGCGACGGTGCCTGGATTTTACCAGGACGCGCACAGTACGAGGAACGTGGAGGCCACCATTGCCGTCGATAGAGTCAACCTTATGCAAGCTCACGCCGCCGATCTCGTCAGGGACGCTTCCTTAAACGACCGAGTCGAGCTCACCGTTCGCGGAGACGTTAGTGCTAAGATCCGAGTCATGAATATCGATTCCCCAGGCGTTCAGGTTCTTCGTTTTTCTCCCTTTCTTTTTCCAATCATGTCGCAGAGGATTTAGCTTAAGCTCCATTGGAGATCTGGCCCTAGTGTGAACAGAGAAAAGAAGTTACCACGGACCGTAAAAAAACAATATGGCGGTGAAAAAAAAAGGGAAAAAGAAGGATTTGTTGTTAAGTTAATAGATTCCTTACACCGACCACCACCACTAGTCCCACTCTGCTTTCCTTTTGGCCTTTGCTTCTCCTTCACTTTTGATTTTTTTTTTTTAGGAGCCACGTATTTTCTTTAATCCACCAGCTTAAAAGCTAATATATTGATGTCAAAAGTAAATAATAGAAGTCGTAATCTGGTTATTGTGTTGCTTATTAGGAAATTCTCTTTTTTTTAAGTCTGTTTAACTTCCATTTATTATTGTATATTTGTATTGATGATAAAATAGTGATTCATTTTGCAGGTATCAGTGAATTGCGGGTTAGGCATTAGTCCAAGGAAGCAAGCTCTGATTTACAAGCAATGTGGCTTTGATGGCCTCAGCGTCTAATTTCCAAACTGTAACATAATATTTTATAATTCTACTGACCACTCCCAAAAACTGTGTGGAGGTTCAAAAAAGAAAAAAAGGTTAGAAGATCCAGCCAAACTGGTAAAGAAACGGAACAGATTACATCTGGGAAATTTTTGTTTGTGTTCCTTTTTACAAGCAGAAATTAAAATAGCAACAATGTTGTTTATCAAAGATACTAATCAGTAATTACTCACTCTGCAAATCCCTTGGCAACTCTTAAAGGTGAATTTGTTTCTGTGTCATATAGATATGTACTCATCCGCATGCTACATATCAAAATATTCCGTGCTTTATTTGAGACTAAAACTGTGGCTTTGTTACGTCTGAAAAAAAAATTGGCAGTTTTAGTAACTTCAATTGTTTGTACAAGGGATCCCAAAATTTTTCGAAATTAAACTATTTCACCAGTCAACATCTCCCACGAATTTCAAAGAATAACAAAAAAATGTAAACTATTTCTGTTCAACAAAACGAAATGCAAACTCTTCCAAGATATTTGCATTTGAATCTTTACACAAGAAAAAAAGAAATGCTCCAGTTAGATCAGGCCACGTGTCAATCAAAATTCGGTAGTCCAAGAATCGCCGTCACCTACGGTCAGAGCTTCTTCCAACGACGGTGAAACTGAAACCTCACCAATCATCGGCGTCTCTGCTGGTGTACGGCCAAAAAAGTTGAAATAAGCCTCTGACGACGGCGAAAACGAACACGAGCTCCATGGCGATGGTGACTCCGCCGGCGAATCAACCATAGGAGGCAAAGCAACGGTGAAATTCTCGACGTCAGTCCCAGAAGACCTGAGTTGGAGAATACCGGCGAGACCATGGACGGCGATATGTTCGTCATAGAAGAGACCAGGGAGGAGAATCTGGACGCCGTCGAGATAAACGGAATCGGTGGAATAAGGCGGCTTAGTGAGAAGGAGGCGGTGAGAAGGGAGGAAAGTTGGGATAGAGGAAGCGTTGGGGAGGGAACGGAGGTCGGAAATCGGGAGGCGGAGAGGTAAAACGTGGAGGCGGAGTGTGGAGATGTAAAAGGGAAGCGAATAGGTCATGTCGAGGTTGAAAAGCATGGCGTCGGTGGGGACGAGGAGGGTAAGAGATTCGGCGGAGAAGATATCGAAGAGTATATCGGAGGTGGTTATGGAGTTGGCGAATAGAGCGCGGCCTCTGACACGGAGGACTGAGATTGCTCTTTCCAGCTCTTCCGATGGGACGGCGCCGGAAGGAAAAGGGAGCCAGAGCACGAGAACGACGACGATGAAAGCCGTGAAGCTAACGGAGGAATTGATCGCCATTTTTGTGTGATAAGCGAGCTGAAAGAGAGTGTTGACAAGAAAGATGAACAAAGCGGTTACGATTTAGTTACGGAATCTGTTAGAAAGGCCTTTCTCTCTCCACCGGCGTTCCGATCAGTTTTTTTTTTTTTTTCTCTGCACAAATGTTGGGCTTTAACTTTGACCCAACAGGCCCATATTGGTCAGAGAGTGTCCCGTACTGGAAACGAAACAGCAACTAGACGAAGAAGAAGATGAAAATTGGGGGAAATCGAATCGAAACATCAAGGGTTCATCGTTCGGCTATCCATCAGGTGATGTAAATTCCTTCGACCGATCTACTTTTCATTTCGTGATAGATCGACCATTACAGATTTTTTTTTTTTCTACATCCTTTTCTCTGTTAGATTTCCGGTCAAGCTTACGATCCTTTATTTCCAATTTCACCATGTAAGTTCGTTCTTCTTCAAGCACTTCTCTAGATTCTGCGTTATAACTTATAATCCTTTCCCCCTTTAATAGATTTTTATTACCAATATCCATTCTTGACTCTTTTTTTTTCCGTTCATTACATCATTTACAATGTTTTAACTCCTCTCTTCTGAAATGCTAGACTTGAGCTATCCCCTCCAAGTATCAATTAAAATTATACTCCGTTCTGATGGGTCCAGGATGATTTTCTTATGAGCTGAGAAGAACTATCTGAATTCTTACGCATAGTAAACTGTATCTTTCATGACTAAGATGCAAGGTGTCTTATAACACATATCCTTTATAGTTTGTTGAGTAGGTCTCTCCATTTTCTTGCGTTGCACATATTTTGAAGGGTTTTCAAATCTGTGATGTTCACGAGATTTGTAGAGTAAAAATGAGAATTCGAGTTTCATCACTTAAACAGCACTACTTTGAGATCAGGGCGGTATTTCATTGTTATGAACATTTTATTGCTACTAGGCCATAACCTTAGGTTTCTTATTAAAAGTTTGATGTTCCACCCTAATGGTTGCTGTAATTCCGATAATTACAGGGAAGATGTGGAAGTTGTTGATCCGAAAAAGTGCCTCGAGGAATCTTGCAAACCAAAATGTGTGAAGCCACTGCTTGAATATCAGGTGAATCCGTTTACCTTCAACTTGAGCTGGCTTTTGGTTTTAACCTTGTATTGCAAAATATGAGTATGTTGACATCAAAGAGGAGCGGTTTCTTCCGGCTCTTACACCACATGGCGTGGGAGTGTGGTTTCAGACGATAACAGTTTGTTGTTGTGGTTCAGGCATGTGTCAAGAGGATCCAAGATGATGAGTCTGGCCACAAACATTGCACTGGGCAGTATTTTGATTACTGGCATTGTGTTGACAAATGTGTAAGTGTTTGACTGGTGTTTTTTTTTTCTGTATACACCTAAAAATTTTCAATTCTAAGATGAAAATCGTATTGTTGATCTGCAGGTCGGACCTAAGCTGTTTGAGAAACTTAAATGACGAGAAACAAAGTTGGGAGTCTCGAGTCTGTGTCTTGTTTTTTTTCCAGGGTTATATAAAATGCAGTGCACATTGAGAACATTACTGCAAACCAGATTGCATTGGCGCAAATCTCGGTTCTGTTTCTCTAGCAAGCTATTCATTGTTTGCTGATCTGTTTGTGATACTTGATTAATGCCTAATAAAAGAAAACGAAGAATACGGGTTCTGTTTATCTTTCTCTGTAGGTCTTTGTTAATCTTCGGTTGGAATGAAAGTATTGAACAATTCAAAGCACGTTGATTTTTTAGTGAGTGGTATATCAATATTTTAAAGATGGTCAAATCCAATTTCATTGTATCAGAACCAGAAACATAGAGTTTGTCTTCAAGAAGTTCTGCTTCATGCTCGGAGTAGGTGAAAGCGATGTAGTTACGTAGATGCTGAATCGATGGTTATTTGCGAGCAACATATTAAAGGTATCAAAAACGGCACGCGGTGTTTTGGTTTTGTACATAAACGGCACAATGTTATTTGGTTTTGTACATAAACGTCACAACGTTCTTTGGTTTTGTACATAAACGGCATGCAACAGAGGTTATCTAGAGCACGGGACCTTAAATAAGGTGACGAAACCGTCGAAGGCCATTCCGACATTCCGAGAAGAGAAGAGAAAGAGACGAAAAAGCGAAGCCCTAGCATTTGTCTTCTCCTCTCTCTTCCTTTCCTTACGGTAAGATCTCTGAGAATCCAGATCTCCAATTTTAATCCAGATCTAATCCTAAGAATGATCTCTTAGATCTGTCTTCCGATTTCTTCTTTTACCTTTTTTGTTTAAAGATTGTCTTCAATTTATCGGATCTTCCCAGCCCGTTTGATCTGTTTCGTCTCTCCTCTTTTCTCTAGGTTGCTTCTTTTTCTTTTAGTGCCTGAGACCATCGTCGAATTCTTATCTTGAGTTTCTTCCATGTTTGGAGTTATAACCCTCGTAATTATGATTTTCCCCTCTTTTGCAGATTCCTTATCGTTTGTGTTTCTCTCGATATTTTAGGCGGCTTCCGTCTCCTCTTCGGCTAATCTTACCTCTCACTCGCATCAGGTAAGAAGTTTGGTTTAGATTTAGTGAAATTCATCGCATTAGTTTCAAAGCTTAGCTCTCTAGGTTCTTTCATTGATTAAGGTGGAATGCTAAACCCTCTTAGGATAACATGGAATTTTGTCCCCAAAGTGTCTTTTTTTATCCGTTCTTGCCTATAGGAGTTGCATTATCAACATCATAGTTAGTCCTTGTGTTGTGGATGTACTTAGATTCAAGAACTCATTATTTTCTGTTGCCGTTTAATATTTAGTTTTGTTTAACTGTTGATGGAAGAGCTAACATTGTTTTTTCTTCTCTTTTGTGAGATGCACTTTTGGTTATATTCATACCAAAATGCAGATTTTCAGCTGCTTTTTCAATCCAAATGGACTGCAAGAAGTTCATCCAGATGGTGGAGGAGAAGAAAAGAAAAATTCTGGAGAAGAAGGAAGCTCCTTTGAAATGGGAGCAGAAGCTGGAAGCGGCTGCCAAGGCTAAATCTGATACAGAAACCAAAGAAAAGAAGTCAAAGGGTGCTAAGCGAAAACACAGGGGTGCCTCTGAATCTAGCTCAGAAAGTGATATTAGCTCTGAGGTGAGAAGAAAGTCAAGAAAAAGTCACAGTAAGCACCGAAGACACACACACTTTGATTCAGATGACAGCGACAGGAGGAAAGAGAAGAAAGCCAGGAGGCATAAGAGAAGGTCCTCTAGTCCAAGCGACGATAGCAGTGATGAGTATGAAAGCGGGTCAGAGGACGAGCGTAAGCACCGAAGACACGCACACATTGATTCAGATGACAGCGATAGGAGGAAAGAGAAGAAATTCAGGAGGCATAAGAGAAGGTCCTCTAGTCCAAGCGACGGTAGCAGTGACGAGTATGAAAGCGGGTCAGAGGACGAGCTCAGGGTGAAGATAAGGCACCACCGGAGGCACAAGTGGCATAGCTCTAGACAGACTTGCCATGATGACGATGCCGAAGATGTGAGAAGAAGACATGTAAAGCATCACAGGCACTAGACCCGGCTCTAACCCATGGGGGGAGGGGGCCGATGCTAAGTGATGCAATCTTAATTAACCTGATGTCGTTTTGAGTATTTTCCCTTCATGTAGAGGAATACCTCATGAAATACTTATCAAAACACAATGTATTGAATTCTCTTTCTTGGATCTCTATTTTTCTCTCTTTTCTCGTCTCTATTCTTCTCATCTCTAATCTCCTTCTAAGATTAATATCGTATCACCTAAGTCCAATTTCACGTTGCTGTTATCGGTGGTTGACCATCATGATCAACTCTGCGACGTCTTGATCAATGAAGACTTAAATTTTGCAGTTATCAGAATTGTGGGTTTTTGAGAGTACATACACATATCAGCATATAATTGACAATAAATACTGCTCCCATCAACCTTTGAGCTCTTTTTGGTTGCTTAATTTGTACATCCGAAGAAGATGATGATTAAAGATTAAGACTTTAGGTACCAAACTGTGGTCTCTTGCATGGAAAGTGATATACTCTACAAGATACATGATTTTATTAGACTTTTTGAACAACCAAGTTCTTCACCGGCCTGTGAGCTTGACCATCCATGCACCACCCAAGTAGAGTCCCAGAAGCGGTGTTGCTAGGAGCATTTGAGTGACAGGGTCCGTCGAGGGCGTGAGTACAGCTGCTGCGACCACCGCACCGACCACCACATATCTCCAAATTGAAAGCATTTGATCTCCCGACACCACCCCTACTTGTCCCAGGAGTAACTGAATTACTGGAACCTGTAAACCAACAACAAAGCCAAGTTCCAGGTGAAGATGTATAATTTAGAACATACTTGGAAGATGTATCTTCTCATTGCCACATACCTGGAAAGACAGGCCCGTGCTGAACATAAGCACCAGTACAAACTCAAAGTACTGGTCGATAGACCACAGAGATTCTACTACCCCTTCTGCGTAATTCACAAAGAAATTTAAGGCTGCAGGGGTTAAAACCCAGTAGGAGAAGGCAAGTCCAGCATAGAACAGCAAGGAGGAACCAAACACAATTGGTCCCAGAAACCTTCTCTCAGCTCGTGTCAGACCGGGAAGAACAAAGGCGATAATCTCATACAGATCACAGGGCTCCCTAGTAGAAGCCCACAATAACCTGAGACCTGCACACAACAACACACAATATGAAAAAAAAAAATTCACTTTCTGTCATTAGAGAAAAAGACTTATCGTCAATGTGATCGTTAGCTACTCGAAGTGCTCTGACCTTTAAAGTGTGAAGAAAAATTCTCCGGAGCTAACTGCAGAAACCGTACACCTTGAGTTTTGACAGGAGCTTCAAGAAAGACGATTAGATCTTTGGAGAAGGCAAAACATCCCGTGATTGCAGCTCCCACAGCCAAAACCGAGACGAATATTCTCTCCCGGAGCTCCTCCAGATGATCAAATATAGTCATCTCTTTGTCATCAGGTAGCTCCTCTTTACGAGGATACAGAAACTCATAGATCGAACTTGATTTATCTTCTTGCTCAAAGATTGCATCTTCCACAGCTGTGCAATGTAAATACATCACTATATTAAACCTCGGAAGCTTAAAAGGGGGACGCGCACAATAACATTCAAGTAGAAACCAGAGTTTTGATTCATAGGTTGTCTAAAACACTTCCATCAAACACAAACAAGAAACAGGACTTCAATATACCTGGTCTGTCTTCTACAGCAGAGCCAACTCCAGGGATTGTCTCCGTAGGTGAATCGCCAGAATTCTCATCCCGAGCTGACAAAGGAACCACATGGCCTAAGCCTTTGCTCCAGCGTCGCGTCACACCGTATCGGAGTGGAGCTTCCTTCCACGAATTGCAGAAATTTACAGCGCACGGACGCTTTCTAGGCGAACACAAGTTGCGACTGGTGAGCTGAAAATGGTGGATTAAAGCAGCAGAACTCGTGCTTGTGCTCCCCATCGCTTCTCTCTAGAATCAATCCTCTCGTATGCTTGCAATAGCGTCAGAGAACGATTGGTTCCGGTCGAGTTTCCTTCGCCTCATGAAATTTACAAAAACCCAATCCTTGTTCTGTCAACATTTCCGTCACAAACTTCACACAGTTTAAAACGACCTCGTTTAGAGAAAGCAAAGAAACGGGCCGTGGAATAACACCTAACATGGCCCATAATGGCTTGAAAAGGGCCCACTACGGCCCATAAACTTCAGTAAATACTTAACTGGTTATGGATTCAGGGAGAGGGATGAGTTCATTTTTCCCGCCAGGTTTCCGACATTTTCCGATGGGCAAAGAGAATCCGGCGGAGAAAGCCCTAAATCTGATTCGCGGGAGGCTCTGCGATCCCACTTTCGTCTTTAGACCTCTTTCCGTTTCATCGGACAGTAACTACAGGTTTGATTGCTTGACTTCTTTCTGGAAATTCCGTAATTGGATTCATTTGCTTACCCTAAAAATTTGTCTGTTTTATAGCAAATTGAAATTCATTGTATCGACCTCTATCACGGAGGGCTGCAACAATTCAATCTTGCTTCTCGGTCCTCGAGGCTCTGGAAAAGCTGCTGTATGCTCCTCGAACCCTGCTTCTTCTTCTCTCTCACTCTCACTCTCTCTCCGTTCGTGGCGTTTGATTTTGTTACTTTTAAATGATTAATCAGGTCTTGGATCTCGTAATTGGTGATTTACTGGAGGAGTATCCCGATTCAGTATCAGTAGTAAGTGTGGTTAACTATATGGCTATCTATTTTGGGAATTATCCATCTCCATCTTATCTTGCTATCACCTTCTGTTGATGCAGATCAGATTGAATGGACTCTTGCATAGTGATGATAATTGTGCATTTAAGGTATGAATCGCTTGAGAGAGCCACCATTCTTATTCTCAGTCCCCTACTATGTGGCTGATATTCACCGGGTTACATTGTTTTTTTCAGGAAATTGCCAGACAGTTGTGCATGGAACACCACCTGCTCTTCTCCAAAATGGTATGATATTGTTCTCTCCAAATGTTCATTATTATTTTAACCAAATGCTACAATTGGCTTGATTCTCTTTTTTTTCTTGCTCTTCTAGGCATCGTTCGATGAGAATTCGCAGTTCATAATAGCCATGCTGAGGTGAGTATATTTAACTTGACATAAAGACCCTTTTTGCTGTGTTGATATTCACTTCAGACAAACTGACAGAGATTTTCCAGGGAATGTGGACTAGCACATAAGACTGTCATCTTTGTGCTTGATGAATTTGACATGTTTGCACAGGCAAGAATTCTGAATTCTTACAACTTGCTATTTGGACGTAGGTGCTTACTCTCCACTCACCCTACTTTTTTGGTTATATATAGGGAAAGCAGCGGTTACTATACAGTTTACTGGATGCTATGCAATCTGTAACATCACAAGCTGTTGTCGTCGGTATTAGTTCTCGACTGGTATGAGCATTGGCAATACAGATATACATGCTTTGGGGTTTAAGATTGTTCATAGTTAATTTATCATTCTAGAACTGTATGATTTTTATGTTTGATGACAATACTCTGGTTTAAAATCTTATAATATGCAATCTCGCACCACAGGACGCTGACCAACTTTTGGAGAAAAGGGTGAGATCTCGCTTTTCACACAGAAAAATTTTGTTTCTTCCTCCATCGAGGGAAGAATTTGATAGGTAATGAGCAGCTTCTTTCTGATAAGCTTCTTTTCTGTAATGAGCCGAAAAATTTTCTTCCAATGAACTTGTTTTATTGACAGAATTATATTTCCAGTTTATTGGAACACCTGCTGTCTCTACCATCAGACTCAAGCTTCCCCAGTGGATATGTTTCTCAGTTCAATGAAAAGATTAAGGTTCTAATATCCACGCCCACTCAGTACTTTGACATGCTTAGCTTCTATACGATGTCAATTCTTATTTAGAAGAACTGATAGTTTCCAAATAAAACTTCTAAAAAGAACGGGCTATGTGCAGAGTATAATATCAGACACGAGATTTAAAAACATGCTGAAGACATTTTTTAATGCCAATTCTACCGTCAACAGTTTGCTGAAGTATATGTAAGTTACTTCGTTTACTAGGGTGAGCTGTTTCTTATTCAAAATTGTCATTTTCTCTGTGTTGAGGCTATCTCTTGATGTTAGATTCCGCGCTGTTTCTTTGATGAATTTGGAATCTGGCCTCCTCTCTCTTGAGAACTTCAAAGCAGCACTTTCAAGTCTGCAAAGGCAACCAAAGTTGGAAGCCGTTAAAGGTATAATAAGCCAACTAGAAACGAATTTAGATTCACTCTACTTCTGAGGAATATGTGTTGCTAAACTGCAGTGTTGCTTATACGTTTTCCTTGGGGATATAGTCAGCTCAATTGGCATTAACTTTGTTGAGCAGATTGTTCCATAGTGGAGCTTTATCTTCTGGTATGCATGAGGAGGTTAGAAGTGAAAGAGCAAAGCTCGTACAACTTCATCAGTGTGATGAAAGGTAATCTGTTAATTTGGCTTAAGAAAAAATGCGGGTTGCGCCATTATGAAAATGACTTGGGCTTCTATGTTTGCTCCAGAGTATAAGACGATACATGATTCTTTTCAAACCTCGGACTACTACGCGCAAAATGTTTGCCTAAGGGTAAGTGTATAGCTCATGAGATGTCATGGTTTTGAATGTGGTGGTTCTCTTCTTAATCGTTGGCATGACAGGCATTTGAGCACCTGAAAGAGAGAGCAGTTATATGCTACGCAGAGAATAGAGGACAGTTTCAGACAGGTGAATACCGTCCCATGAAGCTTTTGATATCAGCCTCTGAGCTTCATCAGGGAATGAGATCTCATGCGTGTTGCCCCGTAAGTATCCACTTTTCGTCTATGCTCTATTTTCTTCCCATTATTTTTTGTTAACTTATTTCAACTTGGTGATAATCTTTTTTTTCTGCTGGAACAGGCCATGCTTCTCAAGTTATTGGACCATTGATCTCTGTGTTTTATTGTTCCTTGGGAATTCTCTAATGACAAAAAAAAAGGCTACTTTGTGTAGAACCAGTCTCTTCAGTTTTGCCTTTGCTTTGCGTTTTCTCCACCTGCCAGTTATATATATAAAGGGAGAGAGCATGTCAACTTAAAACTTACTAACTCAGTTCGTATTGACCAGTTTCTACACAAACAAGACTCTAAGTAGGCAACTTTCTTTACAACACTCAAACCCATCCG